CACGAAAAAAAAATACAAACAAAAACAAAACTTGAAAATTGAAATAATAAACATAGTAAAAATAATAATAATAAAAGAAAAAAATCTCCTGGAGTAACGAATTTTGCAGAATCAAACTACATTTTGTACGACTAGAAGTTGCTGAAAGTTGGCAACAGAATTTTTCTGAACGTTGAAATCGTCACGCTTTACTGTACAGCTATGTTATAAATTGATTTCTAAGCAGATTGCAGATATTTCAGAATTCTCAATTGCAATAAATCTTGGGATGGAATGCAGGGTAACACTTATTTAGTGATTAGTATGTAATTGGGTTAAAAACTATCGGTATAGACTATTTGATAGATGTTCATGCATTACATGACGGGAAGTGTGATAATGCAGTCACTGAGGGTTGAAATTAACAAACTTTAAAAGATTTATAACGTGTTTAAAGTGTAGTATTTTTCTCTGGTAAATGTACTAACTGTACTTAGTTACCTTGACAACTAACGTGCTATTATATGTAAAATGCAATATAGCAATAATAGTAATTAATCTTCATAATTATTTTTGTTTTTGTTTGTTTGTTTGTTTGTTTGTTGTTGTTTTTTTTTCGAAATTTAGAGATTCTATTTTTAGAAAAAATCTATTATCGATTTCTTTACGGTGATTTCCGCTACTAAGTTCGCATAAGATGGCTACTGAGTTGTTTTATCTCGGTATTTTCTTCAGGTTGGTAATGACAATAGAACAGAAGTTTTTATGACACAACCAGTAAAAGACAATGAGATTGTCATCAAGATCCCCCGCCCATGTTCCTTTGTAAAATATGTACATTTAAAGCAACAGCAAGAAAAACTGGAAAATATACCAGCCAAGCAGGTCACAGCAGTCTCATTAAATATGCACAGAATTGATAATCAAACTTGAACAAGGGATTAATAAAGGTAACATATCTAAAAGAAAACGTGCGGAACGCATTAAGTTAGAGTGCTGAAAGATATTAGCCAATCAGGTCACAGTCACCTCATTAAATATTGCCCATAATCGAACGAGACTGACCAAGGAATTAAGGTAAAAAGTCAACAAAGCAAGTTTCTTTAAGATTTTATCATTCCTTCCTAAGATAATATACAGAAATATTTCCCATATATCTTCAAAAGATGTGATGCGGAAATCAACATCTGAGTGTGATTAAAGAAATCAGTCAATCAAGTCACAGCAACTTCACTAGATATGTGCGAAATTCGCCGTTAATCGAACTTGGGCAAGGGATTAAGGTAACAAGTGTACCAACCAAGTTTCATCAAAATCCGACCAGTTCTTCAAGAGCATCATGCGGAAAGCAACATTCGGACGGACGGAATGATGGACGGGAGGACGAACGGACGGAACCAATTTGAAAATCCCCCGCCATCTTTGTTGGGCGGGGATGATTAGAGCGTGAAGTTTTGATGACAAAACTGTCACCATCAAACAAATGACCAGTGTGAAGCGTTTTAGCACAGGTATATGGAGTGTACTATCTACAATCCTGTGTACTCTCATGTAGATAACAGTACGTCGAGATGGTAAATGGATTATAGACAAAATGATAAACAATCGTTACAATGTATTGTAGCGGTTAGAATTTGTTTCACATTTGTTCACACATAGCATACGGGTTTCAGTAAACCTCGGAGACTAAAAGTCCCCCAACAGTTTCTACTATCGGCTATCTCGAAGGCTGTACATTCAGACTTGATTCATCTCTCAAATTCAGGGGAACACAATACCACGGGAAAGTATAACACCTGATAATCTAAGTATTTATATTAGCCAATAAACTTTCAACTATGGATTTCTTTGAATTCAGGTACATTCTTTGTCTTTTTATTGGTATAAACAAATATTGGATACTAGCTTTAAGTGTTTCATCAAGTATGACATTCCTTAATAAGGGGTTTTAGTTATCCATCTAACGTTGTAACACAGACAATTCCTTCGTGTAATCGAAAGGATAAAAACAGTCGTAATGAATTATCATATATGATGAAATTCCATTGGAAATTGAGCAATAAATATTCGAAGTAAACGTTGAATGTTGACAAATTAGATCCGGTTTGATTTTTTAAATAAAATGAAAGATTGAGTTTATAACAAAATCTGAATGCAAAATTTGGAAAAAAAAAACAATATATATATATATACGGATTTGATAAACAATATTTTAGTTTATTACTACGTTTCATGTATTTTTATACAGAGAAATGATGTACGGTTATAAATCTCATGACGCGATACAACGTGCCTTTGACACCGGACAGTATAAATAGAGGGTTCACCAGTAACGTGGTTTACTGGTGCGGCAATCAGTGCGACGGGAAGGCTTGTTATGGTGTTCATGTACATCGATCTGCAGATTTAAAAGCAAATTACACGGAAAGGTGAGTTTGTTTACTAATTAAAGACAGTCATAGATTCTTATCCTATCCAGAGAATATGTCTTCCAAACATCACTGTATTCAGGATTTCACCTTGATATCACTGTATTCAAGATTTTTTTAAACACTTAAGTAAATTGATAAATCATGACATTTTAGATTAAACGTGTGTATTAACATTGAACTGAGTGAATATCTAGCAATATTGATGAAAACATGTTTTATTTATCATAAAGTTATTTCTTAATAAGAAAAATGAATGTTAACTCATTAGGCGTTTCACCATCAAGACAACTGCATGACATCATTATGTCTATCACTTGTGCTAATATAGGTAACAATTGACCTATTGTTATATCAGATTGTTTTCCTGTCTCTTTGATTTTCTTAAATTGCTCTTTAATTTAATGCTATAAAGATTTCGACAGATAGTGATTATATATTTATATATAAATATACGAGTTTCAATTGTTACTCCGTTCTGACGGAAATTCGTGACTTAAAGATGTATAACGGGAAATAATTAATTTCAATATATTCCTCTTTTTTTTAATTTTTTCAATTTTTAATTTCATTACAAAGTACGAGTACGATACTAGGATGATAAAAAGCCAATAATTTGAAAATGTGAATTTTTCATTTAATTTGATTAATAAGCTTTAAACTGCATAGCGACCAAAAATGGAAATGTTTCAAAGTCACATAAAATTTTTATTTGACTATCTCTACTAGTAAACTTTTGTTCAGTCTTCAAGTTTTGATAGAGAATTAAAAGGTTTTTTTTAATCAAGCCATTTTATCCGAGATCAAAAAACAAGATGAAATATTTATTTCGATGTCCCGAAAAATAGGGGGAAAGTGGTCATCAAGTCGCATTTTACGAATTTGAAACCTATTATTTGTGGTAATAATTTATGCAAAATATAGTGAAATCTACCCAGAGCTTCCACAGTTATACTCAACAGAACTACCTCAGCAACCAGAAAACGTTGTAACTCTTGATGCTATTAACCGAATCACGCCGTCAACTACGCCGTCAAAAAATGTAGTTCACGAGCGAAATTTCTTCAAAGCGTCATATAAATCACCTGTTTTCAACTTGTAAGTACAAATATAGATGTAAAATACGTTAAAAAGTCAAATATCCAAGATATTATGTTGGAACCAATTTTATATTGTATAATGCCTTACTTCTAATCTTCGCGAAAAATTGAAAAAAAGTTCTGCCTAAGAAGGAAGTAACCATGTGACAGCGCAACATTTGACTGTATTCAAGCAATATCCAATGTTGCAGTTTGAAATATGAATGTTTTTATCGGAATACAAATTGCAATCGAATCGACTATTTTCCATAATATGAAAAACTATCTTACGATAGGTTTCCTCATTTGTTTTGAGGTCGGAAACTACTAGCAACTGGATTATAGCTTTGTGGCTCCGAAATATAGGACGGAGTTTTTTTTTCCTGTGGGGAATTTTGAAAACATTGAGTATTGGACCTTTCATTATCCCTGCCTTAAATTTATATAAATAAATAAAACATGTATAAGTGTTTACCGTCAATCCTCACTAGGTGTTATTACATTTTTGTAACTTATTCTATTCTGTGTAAGATACAAAAGAAATGAAAAATAACAACTAAACTCAACAGCATATCAATACAACAAACACGAGTTCTAGTTGTACAGCAGACATTTAAAGTGAATTACCGTGAAAATATTAGTACCGAAAAAAATCATATCATTACATGCGTAAGACATCAAAGAATTCTCCCCGAAAACCTATTGCCGTTTCGTCCAAAGACGGATTATGTGTCTTCTTGGCGGAAGTAAAATTGTGCCCCGGGACATTATGTCATGTACCCGTACACTGATACATGTTTTATCTCATTAGATCTAACGCTCTTGACAAGCTCGGCACTTTCGGCATGTTCATCTATTTTATCTGTCAGTCTCCGTATATATATATATATACGTATATAACAGATAACACCCTCTGTACGTGTTTCCCACACCAACCTACTTTTCTCTATATAGGAAACTTGGCGTTGCTCTTCTCTTCCTCCTCTTTGGTATATATTATATATGGTGTTGACGAAAGGTGTTTTATGTATAACACAAACGTCAATCTATCACTTCCAGTAAAATAGGTCAGTCGTTTGTGTTCTACAACAATGGCTTTGTGTAATTCACAGGAATATATTTAGACGGTGAACCTTAATTAAAATAGAAGATAGGTGAAATGATGAACAGGCGATGATGTGATAAAAACATTCCTGTAAAACAATCATTGCTCTTTCCAAATGATTTAATTTTATATTTAAATTAGATTTATCTTATAAATACTTATGAAGTTTCTTTCATATTACTTTACGGTCTTACATAAAATAATCGTTTTATGTTTGTAAAAATTAAAAGAAAAATAAATAAATAAAATCTAAGAGAATGTTAGATACGATAATAGGTTTATGGCCTTCCTTAAACTTTTTACAAATCGGAAGCAGTAAATTTATTTGACCGAATATCATTAATTTAGACATTGTCGATGACTCAATATGATTCCATTTAATGTATTTTTTTTTTATATTGTAGAGAAATGAGGGCATTCCAAGAAGCTTTCTTTGCTGTGTTATGGCTTGTTCTGGTGACTGCCAAGGAAGGTACGTCCAACACAACAATTCAATTGCATACTGGGCTGCTTTCGAGATGAAGAAACAATTTGTCCAAATTTTTCGTACAATAACCCATAATTTTCACTCGCAGTTGAGTCAAGCCACTTTAAACCAGGCACGGCTAATCTAGTTGGGCGACGAGCCTCATGATTCTCATTTTTGTTTTCATAGCAAAGATTAATCCAACCCGTTATACATTTTCTTAATTTTACTAACAGATGGGTAATTGCATATTTTGAATAATGGCGGCTTACATCGCAATGAAGGAATATGTATAACTATTAATATCTCCATTCCTGGTGTCTAATTATCAAGGAGGACCTAATGTACTTAAATGTTGTTATTCTATATTATTCTTAATTGACTTAAATTAGGAATTTCCGATTTTTTCTTTACCCAACTATAGTTTGTTTTTTGGGGTATTTACTGTCTTGATACACATAACCATAAATTTCCACAAACCAATACATTTCTATGTATCCATAGAGATATCCACGCTACGACAGTTTTTTTCTTCACTGTTCTTGAGTTCAAAGGTGAAGGTGCTTTTCTGGAGTTTCAGTAACATTTGTTCATAGTTTTGCCTAAGTTTTGTTGGGTTTGAGTTTGGATGATGGTTATGTTGACACGTTGGTATTTTATTGGTCTCTCTCTCTCTCTCTCTCTCTCTCTCTCTCTCTCTCTCTCTCTCTCTCTCTCTCTCTCTCTCTCTCTCTCTCTCTCTCAGATTTGGAGATCACCAGTAGTGTCCTCAAACCGCATTCTGAAAAGAATTGCACAATACGAAAATGAGCTGCGCCTTTTAATGTAAATTAAGAATACAGAACAACCACAGAATAGAATAAAACAGCATCATACAGCGAGATTTCGTCAACGATGCTCAGGACCTAGTTTATAGAAACCTACAACCTGCATTATTTTTATTTTTATCTTTTAAGAAACAACCAAACACCTCCGCAGTCGACGATCTGCTGAAGACCTGTGCATGATGGCCAAAATGGAAATCGGTGACGAATTTTCATGTTTGCGAATGCTGTATTACGGGAACAATTGCGGACCTTTCAGGGGAGATAAGCCTCCACTAGATCCGATAGACCAGTAGGTGGTTTCAAATTTTAAAATTGTAGTTCATATCTTAACCGAACTCACCTACAGAATTTTGTAATATTGCTGGCTGTTTTATTTTGTATTGTTTTATTTTTATTACTATGATGTGGTCCAAAAAGGCATTGTTTTAAGTACACAATTGATGAATACCTTTCGATACTACTTTTTAACTGAATAACGTTTTATTGTCAAATCATAAAATTCAGCTGCATTATACCACTGTTTCGTTCATCTAGGACTCAGAAAGTAATGTTCAGGGCAGAGAGTGGTGAAATCTAAGAAGTTGCTAAGAAAAGTAAAAATTGTCAGAAACGCATGGGAAAATGTAGAAAATAATTTCGTTATTTTAGATACAAATATCAAAAAATCATCATTTTTGAATACTGTTATTTTTCTGATTTTTTATACTTTAAATGACGCCTATTAACTGCACGTTGACAGTGATACTTAATAATAAACAATATTTCATGTTTTATTTAAATGGTATCCGTCGCGTGTAATATTAGTGACTTACCTAACGGAAGCATGGTTTAAGTATACTTTTAAAGGTTTATGACTTACAGCACGGAAGTATTGTTGGGGTGTAAATTTCAAGCGAAGTGTTATAACATCTCATTAGTGGTTTAAGGTCATATTTTGTTTAAGAATGTTCTTTGTAAAATGGAAATGCAAGTTATGTATACTGAGAACTAAAATAACATTTTTCTAAAAAAAATAGTTTTTATCGTTATTATGGTCTGCTGGCAGTTAGTTATCTTTACATGTATTGATGCAATGCAGATGATGGAGTATTTATCTATAACGGTAGGGCCATTATTTCTTGGATCTTATAAAACGAAACATTAAATTAAAGTTTGTAAATGGCATTCTATGAGAGACATGAAGCTTCTATGTATCAATGTGCGTTGATATGCTTCGTGTTATTTTCATTTGAGTACGAGACATTACTTAGTTGGTCATCATAGTGATATGATTGAGAAATATTCTATTACTTTGTGCCGTATGAATCTGAACCTGTTTGTGCCTATTGGTTCCGTTGTTGTATAACTTGTTCTCATGTGAGAAAATGACATTGCTAACTTGAATTGGCCAATATTTACATGGTGGGTGTTATCGATGAAGCAGAAGACGCTTACTCTTCCGAAACACCTGTTCTTATTTTGCTTTTCAGGAGTCTCCTACCTTGGATTATGATTACGTTGATATGTTCTTGCTGATTTAGTAAGCAATCGATTATTTTATTTTCATTTTTCCAAGGGTCTCTGTGAGGATCTTATTCTTTGTATATATTGCCCTCATTTCATCAGTTTGGAGCTTTGAATTACGATTTTGTTATAATTTTAGTAATACTCGTTGACTGCATGCTTTTAGTTAAGTGTGATTTCTTTTGCTAGGTGCTGTGATATGCATGATAAATGTTTGTTTCACTACCGGTCTATGTGCAGTGTTGCTCGGATAAGCCTTTATTTCATGCAATATAATTGGAATGTAGCACCCATGAATGGAAGACCGTTCTGTCGTAAGTATTGGTTTACTCGCATTTTTTAATAAGGTAGTGAGTGTTTTTGAGAACTCCAAACCGTTAAAATGCAGATAACTTGTCTACTTTTGCCACACTTAAACATCTATATCTATATTTTGATGAATCAAATTAACACGACGTTTTTAGTTTTTTGAATGTTTTTTTATTATGATTACTATTACTTTTCTTATCAGGGAAAACTGTTTTCCAGGATAGCTTTTTTAAGATTTTTAAAGTTTCAGGGTTTTCCTTGTAAATTTTCACTTTGTTTATATTTTGCACTGGTTACATCAAAGTTGTGCTTGAATAACCATTCCATTAACATGTCTACATTATCGTTGGTGTTTGTACAAACAGCCATACATGAATTTGGAACATAAAAAATTGAAATTTACACAATCATGAATTTTGTGCAGAGAATACTGAAGAAATCACGGATCCTTTTAGCTTCAGTTTGGCAGTAAGAGGAACAGTCGTTCATATATACGTTTACGACCGGATTTATATATCACGTTTTTGTCTTGCATGATTGCACCTAATAGTAGAATACCTATCAGGCCCAAATCCTCTTTTTATAATAGATGTAATTGATGGAAATAGATGATATATGGCAACGAATGTTTTTATAAGACAGATGAACAATCACCGTGACAGTAAGAATTCAGTTTCTATCTTGGCATATGATGAGAAAGGGTGACAAATATCATAAAAATCAGTAATCAGAGATAACAATAGATTGTTGTGTTAACATCTTAGGATAACTTGTTGGCTTAAGACAAACACGAATAAAATCACCATTCAACGCTAATTGCAGGATAAATATGTTATTGCGTCGAAAAACGTCGTGGCAATTTGACATCTGACTTCACTCATTCGTCCATTTGCCGAATAGGTAACTGTCGTCTTGAATCACTTTCTGCTTGATAAAGGTTTTTTTGTAATATCCCATGCTTACAAAACTCGGTCTAATCATCAATCTTTACGCTTTTTTACAAATATTTTGATAGTTACAATGAGGTGACTTTATATGTTGACCTTGCCGTCACCTGTGATATTTGAAGGAGGCGTTACTCAGATTGATGACTGGCTACGTGCTACATCCATCAAAATGATGATTTACGACTAGGTTATAGACTGTACAAAAGATATACAAGTAAATAGTCAAACAATGAATTGAATTAACACACATAAGACATAGTGTTTAGATATTGTTGCTCAAAGGCTGGTGAGTGATGACCAATGATTCTTGAATTTTTAAAAAATGTGAATAAAACAAAATTATGAACACTCTTTATCTTTTGACAGCTGTAGAATGGTTGAGGCATGTCGGATTGGTATTTTTAGTGTAAATTTTCCTTTTATTGTCCTTAGGTTTTTCAGTTGTAACAATTTCAATTTTTTCAATAGTCACTGATTACTCAGACTAACCATTGAGCGACAGGGGCCTCTGTTGTATAAGAAATCGGCAGTCTCTTGATATATAACAACATATATTTGGTGTCTATGTTTCAGCACGAGGAGGACATGCTTGTGATAGTATGTGTTGCGAGTGTGACTTGGAATTCGTCAGGTGCGTGGGACATTCAATGCACACCTACCATATGATGTGAATCCTATTCTTGGAGTATATTGATTCACAGTGATCAATAACCAATATGCACATTTAACGCGAACTATGTAAAACAGATGTATATACTAAAACTCACAAAAAACTAACTTTGACCATACCGACCGTTAATACCAATTATATGATTATGATTGACCAATACTATCCAATCAACATGTGGTTTACGTTACTATAGTTACGAAAATTTCTTAACCGTTATCAAGTAATTAAAATCACGGAAGTAATTTATTAAGCCATACATTGTATTTCTTAATAAAGAAAACAAATATGTAAATCATGAATAACGTGCAGATACAAAAAAAATCAACATTTTGTTCATTTAGAATTTTCGCACATTCTGGGACGTGGTTCATATATGTGATTACAGCTGTCATTCATTAACATACATTTCTTATGAATTAAATGTCGGCTATAAGGAAATGGCTTCAATGTATGATCCTAGGTTTCATGGAAATGACTTCCATAGATGGTCCAGTCTTTCATGAACTTGGATTCCATTGATGGTCCAGTCTTACATGAACTTGGATTCCATTGATGGTCCAGTCTTTCATGAAGATGGCTTCCGTTTATGCCCAATGTGTTTATGGAAGTGCTTTCATGAACATGGCCTTCATATATCCTCGATTTATCCTCGATCTATGATGCATTTCTTATGAAATCTAGGATATCATGATACCATTTCATTTAAGATCACGGTTTAATCGGACATGCATTCAAAACATGAAAATGGTTTTCAATAACTTGATCACAATTTTCATGAATGAACATTTCACTTCCGATAATAGACTCTATTTCCTCATCTTTATTCTATTTTAATGTGTTTACACCCTATCAAAATACTCTTTGTCTTCGCCTCAACGGTTACGTGATTAACTACAAATCGAAAAAGAGGTTATTTATTTATTTGCTAAGTTATTCTACATGTTGTTATAATTTATTAATGCGTATAAATCAAGGAATGACATCAATATTGGCTGTTTAAGGATGTGCTCCTCCGCTTTTTTGACCGGAAGTAAGACGTAATACAATAAAAAAATGAATTCCAGCATAATATCTTGGACTTTTGTCTTTTCATATACTTTGACATCTGCAATAATTCTCTTCAAAGTTGAAAGGAAATGGGCGATATTTATGGCGTTTTGAAGAAATTTCGCTTGTTGACTTAAAAACGTTCAATACAAAAAGATGGTCAAATAAAAAAATAACTGATGTAATTTCTGAACAGTTTAATTTTATGGTTATCATGGAGGTTAAAGATCGTTAAATCAAATGTTAACTTTACATGTTCATATGAATGTCAGGAAAAGATAAGAATTGTATGTGGGATTGAATTATTTCTTACATATTGACTTCTTGTTTTTAATCTTCTTTCTAAAATTATCTCTTTCAAAAATGATCATCAGAAAAAAGTTTCATAGTGGAATATTTTGATAACTCAGTGGAGTACATCCTTAAATATATATCCTGTTTATAAAACAGGACGTAAAGTCACATAACCGGAGGTGAAGCTTCTGGATACTAAGGTATTATTCTGGATTAAAAACATACAGTTCTTTTGACAGTTGCCTTTGCTATCTTTATGTTATGTATGTACAATTTTGAACCTCTGTAGAGGAAATAAAATCTGCTTATATAATTAAAACAATGTTTGACTTTTTTTTAAAACTCGACGAAGAAAATCACTGCCATAACCATATATTATTCATGTTCATCGGTAGTAAGTATTTTATAATATTTTACTGTATTTAAGATGCCGTGTCTTCAAAATGTTTTAAAAGGCGTAATATTGGTGAAATACAGTAGCCGGGGTGAAATTATTTATGACAATAAACGGAAAAACAAACTTGTGTCAGGATCGCAGATTTATTCACCAATAGATACTGGTTAAACTGGTGAACATATATCACAGTTGAGCTCCTAACCTTTTAGTCGTAACGGTCATATCGCAAGGCTATTTTCATTTCCCCACTTCAATCTGCAATATTCTTTCATTTGTTGATAACTTAACCTCGTTCATGGATGCACTTCCAAAGGATATCATTATTAAGGATTACATTTCATTATCTTTAAGTTCTACAAACTGAAAATACCTCAACAACATTTGTTACCGATTAATTCTTCCACATGGGCGCCGCCATCTTCTCATGTTATGAATATGTATGACTTTGGTCGTAACTAGAACGTTACTTTCTCAAAATTATGTTTCCGAATTAAAAACAAATTTTGTTCCAAGTTGAAAACCATTTGGTTTTATATGAATTGATTAAAGTGATAGAGAGCAAAAAGGTAGCAAGCAATCAATATCAAATTCAAGAGAGTTTATCGCTTAATCATGATCGCTAGGACGCTGAGCACTTCTGACTCTTTCCAACGCACAGTTAACAAATACGGCAAATGACAAGTGACTTGAATTTGACTTTGAAAATGCATATTTCGACAAGTAAACCTTGACAATGTCTGCAATAAAATATATACATATTCCATGTAGAAGAGACTCAAACATTGCCATGAACTAATCACCAGTATAAAAAAGTCAGCACTGCAGCTAAAATGTTGATAATTATTTCCATTCACTATATCAGCATATATATATATATATACGCTCACTTACATACAAACAAAGGAAAACTTAACTTATTAAGGTAAACGAGACTTCTATCGATATTCTGTTCAAATCATTGTTCTCAATGGTGCAGAAAAAAGCGATAACATCCCCCGTCCCAGATACTTCTACATACTAATATTAGATTTGTAAAACAAAGACAAAGAAAGACAGTTTTTTACTCGAACTCTATCCTTTACACCACCACGACATACCCCAAAAAGGACGTTCAGGAATTATAGTGATTAAACACCTAAACATTCTCCATATGGTCATATTAGCAAATGTCTATTACGTGATATGAACACCTGGATCGCATTGCATACATATAGTGACATTGATATGAATTGTAAAAGGACAGACATATCAAACCTGCTACGTTCTTATCAAAATACGATGCATGGTGTTACATTTTTGATGATTTGAACATTGGAATAAAACTGAAATGGTGTTATTATGATACCAACTAAGCACATTGAAAGTATAAAGACATTATTATGATACCAACTGAACACATTTAAAGTATAACGACATTATTTTGATACGATTGAACACATTTAAAGTATAACGGTGTTATTTTGATACGATTGAACACATTTAAAGTATAACGGTGTTATTTTGAGACGAACTGAACACATTTAAAGTATAACGGTGTTATTTTGATACCAACTGAACACATTTAAAGTATAACGGTGTTATTTTGATACGATTGAACACATTGAAAGTATAACGGTGTTATTTTGATACCAACTATTATCAGTTTATTATTTGATTCCGACTGAACGTTTCTATATTATAACGGTAATATTTTGACAAACTCCATATAAAAATAGACACGTATTTGGAATATTGGCTATATTAAATTCATATAAATTGTTAATAATATATTAAATAGATTCCATGCACTCATTTTGAATCATAAAATCCAATTCATATACCACGTTGTATATTCCCTATGCTGTTATATGTCCTTGTGTGATAATAACTGAATGTTTACATGTATTGTATGAAAAGTAATCAACATAACATTATAGGTAATTGAGCGCCACAAGAGTTGTCAATTACCTATTAAAACATGCCCCAAGGTAGACCACTCTAGCTGATATCGACTAGTCTTTAAGGATATCAGATACTCCTGGTTAGTCTTTCGAAATAACAAATAATTAGGAAAACAGTTTAGATCGTTTAAAGAGAAATATGATTTCTTACTTGATAAACAGTAGAATCAATTATACATATATCCTACCAGCTCCAATACCTAATGCGTTCTTGTTCATTACAATTACATGCTGATAAATGACAAACCTACTGGTAACTTTAATCAAACATTCCACGTCTCATTTCATTTATAAACTTACTGAAACAACTTTCCTTGACTTTCAATTCTTCCTGATCAATTAGAAAAATTTCACCACACAGTAGGCTGACAATACTCAGTAAGATTCTGAAGTACGCGAATGCCAATTAACCAATGCCTCCATTCACAATATGATATGCTGAGGTCAAGACATTTGATGCAAATGTATTAACTACCTGGTTGTACAACGTTATCAATATTTTATATGCAAATTATATTATGTTCTGAAAATTCAAAACTGAACATGAAAAGAATTCTTCGATAGCTTCGCTTGTATGGTCTGGAACCCTGGTGAGTATATCATATCTGTACGTGAATTACATATCACCAGAAGAATGAACATCAGTACATTTGTCAATTTGGATTTAATTGTAATTTACACCTCTTGATTATTCCAAAACAAATTACACAGAAAAAAACAGTACAAGATATCGGAAAACCCGTTCGTCCACGTTGATAGATAGATGCATATATTTAAAATAAAGCATATAATTATTGATAAAAAAATGTCAGTACATCTCAGTTTAAACAATGAAGTTTCGGTTTTGTATTGTTAAACAACCTGTCAACAACTAAGGTCATTTAGTGCCAGCCTCACGTAATGAAGACTATCTACCTATATCTTGATACAGTTGCTTTATATATTATATATATATATATATATATATATAAAGCAACTGTATCAAGATAAGGTATGTTTTCCAAATAATTTTGTAAATAAATAATTTAATAACATTTAATATATCTCAGCCTAAATGGTTTACAAATGGAGATAAGAAAATAATATCTAATTATTATTAGAGTGTGTTTTAAACTATCGTTAACATAAATTGGGCTTAATTACTTCATTTAATTAATTCCCTTGGGGGATGTGTTTAATCTGAACAACTGACTTCGGTTGATTTATCGTTATCAGATGAAAATTAAATAAAAAAAACCTTTGTGTACTTTTTATCAAAATCTGAGTTGAAACAAGCTGCCTCATTTGTTCATTGAGGTACCTATATTCATCAAAGACAAAAAGCTGTACGGCTTCACAAAATCACCTAACCGTATATTGTATTCAACATACACGTAAATAGATCGTATTTGGTTTGAGATGTTTTTGTTCATTCTTTGTTAGCTTGACTTTAAACGATGCATAAAGAATCTTTTTTTTAAATAAATCCTTGTATTATTTTTTCTAGCCTACAAGAAAATTCGCAATTACATTATATTTCAAATTTTTACCGATTTCATATAATTATCATACGTTAGAGAGTCATAATATGAAATTTATACAGAATATATACTGATACTGAAGAAAATTTCTTAAAATAAACATTAACTGTTTATAAAGTGTGCCATGTAGATTAATTACATAAAAACATTTACAAGAAATGATTCTAACAAATATTCAAAGTCAGCCATTCTAAAACACAAGAACCTTACGTTATGGACTTCATTACTAAAGCTCATGATAACAATACTTTATACGTTTTAGCTCAAAGAATAAGGGACATAGTTTTTATCAAGTCATTTAAATCCCATGACAAATAAACGTTGTAGCAAAGTTATGAGTAACACTGTTGAAACATGACATAAATTCTTCCCCACAGGAATATTAAGGCTGTAGAAAAATGATGCCACGGAAATCCTCATTCCTATTTTACTGCATTGGATTGTCAATCATATTTGTATGGTATGCAATGGCAATTTTAGGTAAGTACATTTACAGTTTCCCTTTGTTATTTGTATTCTGATTAATAAATATGTTCATCCTTTGATACAAACCAGTGCTCTAAGAATAAAATGTTTTCATGACTCCTGAAATTCTTTTGCAATACGCCATATATCTAATTTTGGTTAAAATGCATCCCATCTTATTTTTGACATTTCTTGTTAATATGGTTTTCCCCAGTTGCTTATAAGTTCGACGAACTCTCGCTCAAGCTTTAAGTCATTATTACCACTGACAAGTCCTTAAAGACAGTTTCAGATTGAGATTCAGTTTAATCTATTTTTTATTATACTGTTCCTAATTCTAAACTTATACTGAAAGGTGTTTATTACTTATGTGCATTTTGTCCAGTCTTCAATACTTTGGTTTTCATTTGGTTCAACTGCTGGAATAGAAATAATCCAACGGTGTTGGAATGTGTATCTATAAACAATAGATAAACAATAAACTATCTTTATTTCAGCAAACCGTGAGTTTTCCAATCGATATCTAAATCAATTAACATCGCTGTGTTAGTAATAAATCTATTATCAGTTAAATATTATAGCAAAAGTGATCATTACTCTTTATATTTAAAGTAAATAACATTTCACTAGTCACTTTTTAAGGATCAGATGTTTATATTTCCTCTCGGTCTCAACAACCATGACATAAATATGTCGTATAAAAATGACATTCAAGTTGAATAAAACGATGGATATAAGCTAAATGAAGATTTTAAACGAAATTTAAAGGATAAATGTTAAAGTCTAAAAAGTATAAAAGGAAATAACACGAGGTCAAAAATATTCTGTTTCGTTGACGATATATATGTCAAATGAAATTAATGTCACGTTATCAAAGTAAGAACAGGGAACGACAAAATAACCAGTTATACCTTTAGATAAAGATATAAATATCTCAAAAATATCTTCCTGTGAGATCCTAATAGCAATAATTAAATATGTCTTTATTATACTCTTTTCTCAGCACTTCGTTAGCAGATGAATAAGACGAGAAATCGGGCATGATTTTTAAATAGCCTGAAAAATATAAACAAATTCAGAAATAATGATGGCCATCACCAAGAATCACCAACTCACCCATATCATCATCATAAGCATTTTTGGCCTACAATTAGGGATCGGTATGTATACGCTACATGCAACAATACACGTGTCAAAATCCTCCCGTTTTACATTTGTAATAATAATTCGTGAAACATGTTCCCTAACGGAACATTGAACATCTGCGATACCTTCATTAGAAGAGGTTGCTGTTCAGGGGTATATATGGGGTATATCTGGTTGTTTCTTTACTTACATTGTTCTAATTTGAGAACATGACATTACTAGGATCGAACTAGATTGACAGGGCTGATGTTGTTGATGGGGAAGAAGACGCCTTCATTTCTTGCTTTCCTTGTACGAACATTTTATCGTCATGTAAACGATTTTTATCTTTTGATTATAATTTGATTAAAAATATGCATGTGGTTGATTTTTACCTAAATACATCTCTCGAGCATTGTGCTGATGATTTGTAGTGTAAACAGTTCTGTACAGATTATGACAAGTAAGTATATAGTTGTTTTTTTGTTTTTGTTTTTGTTTTTTTTATTATTATTATTTTATTTTATTTTATTTATTTATTTTTTTTTTGGGGGGGGGAGGTGGAGTGGTACTTAATATAACTAATGTTTAAATACATTCGAAAGATTATGAAAAAGTAAGAATATTCTTGGAGTGTTTTTATTAATTTTAGATGCAAAAACAGCCATGCGGAAAACCCGTGGACCTTTAACTGATTCCAATCATGATAGCTTGTCACCGCAAACCATCGAAACTCTCCTGACAAAGCGACATCATATTCCCGTCATAGATAAGAAAACCCTGGAGATGCACGCTCGGAAACAAAAGTTACATTCATGGTGTAAAACGTTTCAAGAACAAGGAAGTAAAACTCGGATATATGAGGAGATTACTCGAACATTCTTCTACTCTAAAACAGCGAGACTTGGAGTATGCAAGGTACCGAAGACTGGGTGTTCCTTTATGGCCAAGTTTTTCTTTGCTTTGGAGCCTAAAATGTCAGTAGTAAAAGCTTTTACCAAGGATCGATATGAGGTTCACAATGGTGCTTACGAGTATGACGAGGATTTCTTGATAAAACAATTAAAGAGACAGAAACCATTTACCGCTGTGGTGTCACGTGACCCATACACCAGACTTTTCTCAGCATATATTGATAAGGTATTCCTCATAGGAAAGCTGAATAAAAGACTCGGACTAGCACTAAAGTCACATTTTTATCAAACTCAGGAAGAACCATGTGGCTACGCTATTTCTTTTCAAGGATTCCTTGACCAAGTGGTTGCTATGGCAGACCAAGGTGACTTTGATGAACATTGGCTTCCTGTCTCTAGTCGGTGTGATCCTTGTCGCATCCGGTACAACTTTATCTGTAAAACAGAGACTTTAGACAGTGATCTATACCACATACTAGATCGGATTAATCTTACAGAAGACAGAATTACCGAGATAAAAAATAGTATAGCTACAGAAAGAGAGAATAAAAATGAAGTTATGTCCCTCATCAGAACAACGATGTTTGATCACAGACGTTTTTCAAGTGAATGTCCAAACGTATTAGATCTAATGGAGAAAACGTGGACATCACTTCAAATTCGTGGTTATATACACGAAGTATCGTCATTTCCAAGGGAAAGGTTCTGGACAATGAAAAAGGGAAAGTTAAAAGTGGGTAAGATCAACGAAGAAGATTTTATAAGTATGGTGTATGAAGAATTCCTTAATAGACCTTTGACCCCTAAGCAGATGGCAGGCCAAAGACGCCGGTCATTGATACGAGCTTATCGCAAAGTCAGACCCGAGACTATCGCTAAAATTCAGAAAATATATGAGAAGGATTTTTTTCTTTTTAATTATGAATTAGAACCTCCAGGAAAAAGGAAAAATTGACACATTTCCAATAACTATATATTAAGATTTATAATTATCTTCAAATATTTGTGAAAGTATTCGAGTTGCTTCAAGCTATGATTCCTTATCAATAAAGATATGTAGCTTCATCTTATATTAAGGTGTAAATATTATGGTATTAATTATATTTTTTGTGATTTTTTTGCAGCGATACACATATTCTTCACTGAATGATGACAAGTTTTTTTTCATTCTAGCATCAAAGTTAATTTAGACTTAAAATCAACCATTCACGGAGTAAGAATTATCTCCCTTCGGTCAGTTCTTTAGTGCATAACAACATAACAATCTGGTCCTGGCCTCAGACCACAATTAATTTCTTTGTATATTCTACCAAAGGAAAACGAAAAACTAAACCATTTAAGTTTTTAGCAAATGATCTTATTGCTTCACTTTCTTGTAAATTTACTCAAGCTGAATCAACGGTGAGCTGGAAAGTACCTCATGTAATAAATAAGTTTACATTTTAATGTCAATACGCTCATTAACTATTGTGAAATAAAGAAAATTCCATGAAATTAACAAACAAGCTTCATTACACAGTGTGTCCTTCCGTACACATAGACATGAAACATGGACATTTCTTATTACTATAACGAATATTGTATATATTATTTCTGTACGAAATAAGTAGACATATATTAGTCTGGAAAAAATGTTTATTAACTGACCTGAAATTTCCTTGTGGGCCTCACTCGTGTACAACGACCTGGAAGTATAATGTAAAGTGGCCTGAGGCCTGCATACATATTTTGTTTTAAAATAAATCGTGTTCTGCTTTGTAAATAGATAAATTTTAAAACTAACGGTAATGGCATTTGATAACGATATTAAAATTACTATGGCAATTACTTTAGCCCTGCCACCTTTCACGTGTTAATATTCACAACAAAACTCACAAAGTTGTGACAGGATATTAAATTACATTAAATTTAATGTACTTTGACATATCTCATCTTTAACACCACCAAGATCACAGAAACAGATTAGCTACAACAATACTGCGTTTTACTCACGTGAGATCAGTAAATGTTCCGAAATAGTTTGTAAAAGATACAAATGTATAATTACAACTGAAATATATACAAGAATCCTTCAAAATTGAAGACTTTAAAAACGCAAAGTGTCCATCATTGAAATCATTGGAAAATGCCATATATGAACACTTGAAATACCCTTTTAGCATATTTCTAGCTTGGTGTTCATTGATTTTAGAAAAAAAACCTACTTTTTTACTAATATATGCTAATGTACTTCTACATGTCACTGTACCAATGTACTTCTACAAGTCACTGTACCAATGTACTTCTACAAGTCACTGTGCTAATGTACTTCTACAAGTCACTATTTAAGTATACTTTCACAAGGCACTGTTTCAATGTATTTATAAAAAGACACTGCTTCAATGTACTTCTAAAACGACACTGCTTCAATGTACTTCTAAAACGACACTGCTTCAATGTACTTCTAAAACGACACTGCTTCAATGTACTTCTAAAACGACACTGCTTCAATGTACATCTAAAACGACACTGCTTCAATGTACTTCTAAAACGACACTGCTTCAATGTACTTCTAAAACGACACTGCTTCAATGTACTTCTAAAACGACACTGCTTTAATGTACTTCTAAAAAAGTCAGTATTCCAATGTACTTCTAATAAGACACTGTTCCAATATACTTCTACAAGTCCCTATTCCAATGTACTTCTACAAGGCACTTTTTCAATGTATTTCTAAAAAGACACTGTTCCGATGTTCTTAGGGATGACCACAACATTTACGTACAGCTACTAAAGGATTTTATCAAAAATGCAAGATTGTAACATCTCAGCAGTGAAATACTCACCAGAAGCTGAATTTTATATTTAACTGCAATTTCTTGTTATAATTGCTTTCCTTTGCTTTGAAAACACATGACCCAACTGTATCATCTAGTCAATTTTAGAAACGATAAAACTCAAAGGATTTTTTGATTTAAACATATTTTATTTGTACAAAGTATACAAGCAGGATTTACACTTTTATATTGTGCGTAAATATATCAAAGAACCACTATCGTAAGTGTAAACGTGAGAACCCTAACCCAACACAAAAGGATACTATGTATTTATTGTCTAATGTTAAGGTAAATAGAAACATGTGTTTCAGGTTTTTCCGACCGCCTCTATTTCTTAGTTACCGACAGTATCAGATGTATCAGTACAAAAAAGCAAGACTTTCTTACATGTTAACAGACTCAAAATTCAAACTCAAATCCAATACAACTAGTGCAAAATATGAGCAATAGAAAGATACAAGGAGAATAAGACCAGGCGTTCCAGAAAAGTAAGTGTCTTCTATTTCTTCATCGACGCCCGCCATATAAATCGTGGTCAATCCAACTGAGTAATGTCACGTTGTCAAATGAGAACGAGATATACAACAACGAAACCAATAGACAAACTAACGAGCATCAAACACGCCCAGCTTCACATCACACAAAGAAATGGTTTATTTGCTAATGAGATCTCTACGACGACCGTGAATCGTCCCCTTAATTTTCATCAACCTGCAAGTTTTCAAACCTTGTGCTGAGTTTGCCATATTGCACGAAAATCGCGATATTGGGAACAGACCAATGAATATCGAATCATCAACTCAACATATTAACACCACGGGTTGGAGATGAAGGGATGTTGTTAACCTTATATAGAAAATACAATGAAATCATCACGTTTATCATACCATTTGGTGGAAAGCCGTCCCTGTTTTTTCTGGAAAAGATCAAGGTTAGCGGTTATGTGTACCAATAGTCTGTTGGAAAAACTGACCATTAAAACCGATGAAGATATTTCATCCAGGAATTCGAGCATTTTGATGACAAATTATTTACAAAAACTTGTGAGGCTTGTAGCCAGTATACGGTGATACGTGTGTTCCTATTCACTGCATTGTCCATCGACAGTTTCAATATATTGACATTGAGGAGGATGGAACGGTATGTCCTTGAAGTGTAATGTACAGATGTCGGTAGCTACAATCTTTTCACTTTACTGTATCCATGTTCCATTCTATTCAAGGCCTTTGGCCATAATGTGAAAAGTGTGCCATATTAAGTCATCTCATTCTAATAGTAAAACCATGTCATACATGTATAAGCAAATATTATTAGTTCAATTATTAAACTATTATTTGTCTTCTCTTAGACTTGCTGTAGGACAAGAACTACAGATGTGTCGACGCTTGCTGGTATTTTTATTTAACCATTTTTTTGTATTTGGGTTAAAATTTATTTTCGTCAGCATGTTTTGAATGTCTAATATGTCTGTCTGTCTGTTTGTCTGTCTCTGTCTGTGTTTCTGTGTGTCTGTCTGCCTGCCTGCCGGCCGGCCTGTCTGTCCTATATTTTAAAGTACCACCTATATATAACATCTGTGATCAATACAACCCGGGTATACACGCACTTTGATCCCACGGATATACTATGGACGAATTTCTGTTCCGCATCGTTAAAGTTGAAAAATGAATTACAGATCTTACAAAGTTGATAACAATGTGAATACCATTAACGTCTGTTCTAAACGTAGATATTGTGTTCCTAAATATAAAACAGTCCAAGAGACCCAGTAGAAAGACAGGAGGGCAAGGTTAATATACGGGCTTCATATTGTGTATTGAACCGATAGTATACGCATGGAATAATAATAACGCCCAAATCATGAATGTTGTACGCTGTCAAAATATTCATCTGATAAAACGCAGTATTTCCATTTTATTTTAAAATATGTATGACACACGCGGACATAAAATAACCTGTTGATATACCATATTGAACTGATGATTGACGCTAACTGGCAACATGCTCTACCCTTTTGTTAGGTCATCGTGTATATTACGTCACAGAGTGGCATTGGATCAAGAATATGTCCATCTGTCATAATTGTCTACTAAGTACTGTGTATATACTTACCAGACCAGTAAGTATTTTATTGAGATATAATTGTCAGACGACCCCCTCTTTCCACAAATAGTGCTGATACTAATTTATTCTGAACAACAAAATGGCGGAAATAATGTGTACATGTGTACCTACCTTTAGTTGTCAATCAGTTGACCTGGCAGTGGGGTGGAAAGATCACAACAATGACGTGCTCAGCTAATGTTAAATGTTAATTCCAGTTGACATATAAAACTGCAGTATCACACCATCTGTGCCTTAGAACCGCCATTAATAGAACACGGCCATATCGCTCAAAGACACTTGAGGATGGACAGACTAACTATGTTCTTATTTAAGAAGTTTAGCATTAAACAATTATTATTTCTTCTGGCGCTGATATCTTCGATCTCGACAATCGGATTCATCAGTTCAAGTCAATTTCCAGGTATGCTAGATAAATCAAATAATTGTAAATGTTAGTTATAACTGAAATATTGAATATTGAATTTACTTTACCTTGCTTAACGAGTAATTCGTACATGAATGCTGCAGTTTTATCGGTGAATTGTGCCTTGCTTCAGGTAAGTTATAAGTGAGAACTATAGCGTTTTTTAGGTAAATCTCAACTTTTCTCACAAGTAAATTATAAATGAAAACTTTAGTTCCATAGCTAGATGATAGCTGTAACTTGTATGCTTACAGTTTTACAGGTAAGTAGGTTTACAGGTTAATGATAACTAAATATATACAGGTAGATTTTAATTTGTTGCAAAAGTACGAGTCATTTGTAAAAAAAAATATGTAGGTACACATTTAAGTGTTACCTTTAAAGGTAAAGGTGAATTGTAACATGATAACATGTAAGTCGGGTTACAGGCAAGTGATGACTGTATTTGTTTGTATATTTAAAACATAATAGTCCATGTAAAGTATTTTATTTAACATGTAAGTCTTAAGTAGAAACTCTGTGTTCACAGGTAAGTGATAACTATAATTACAAAAGTAGACTGTAATTTGTTTTACATGTACCATACTTCAGTAACAGAGGTCATCCTTCTTTCATTGAATTCTTTGCATGAATCTGTAAAAATGCTTTCAGAAAAGAAACATATTATAGATGTGCGATGGAAATAATTAAACTTTTTTCTTATCGTTTTAGCTATTTTACGATGGGTGGCCCATGATGATGATGATATGAGTTCATTGACTTATAATGAAATGAAAGTCTTGCTGAAGGAACGTCGAAACCAAATCGATCGCGTTTGTGAAATGCAGAGTGTGCAATCCTACAACAAAGAATTTCCTCCGTTTCCAGACATTTTCCATTTCTACCGGAAGTTAAAAATTGCCGTGTGCAAAACACATAAAACCGGAACTGTGATTTTACCGAAGATAGTTAACATTCTTGATACAAAATTATTAAAAGGAAGAAGAAAATTTAATTTGACCCAATACTCGATAAATGACCTGAAATTTAATATCAACATTGATGTTTTAAAGGAACGAAATGAAGCAGACATTGTTTATATAATTATTGGCAAGAACCCGTATGATCGTATTTTAGATCATTTCCTAGAAGGAGTGACTGTAGTAAGTGAACTAAACCGTCAAATTGGCAGGACGTTTCGCAAACCATTAGATACCGTGATTGTCGATGGAAAATCTTTCGATTGTGGTTTCCAAGTGGATTTTCAAGAATATGTAGATTACTTACTGAAACATGTTCTAAAATCCGGACAATATAATCCAGTATTAGAATCTCCGATTGCGCGTCAATGTGCGCCTTGTAATATCAAATATACTTACATGTTCAAACAGGAAACACTAAGGTATGACATTTTCCATGTTTTGAATTCTACGCAAATGACTCCTGCTCATAGAAAAGTTATAAATCAACTACTGTCACATGAATATGACGAACGTCGACTTTATCTTGAAGAATATGTCACAGAAATCATAGCAAATCAGCGACATCACAAAGAAGACTGTCCCGAAATTCTAGCATTGTTGTTCAAAACATGGGAATCTATAAAAGACCAGGGTCTTCTCCATGTCGATTCCAAATTTCCTTACGAGGCATTCGTCAAGGTGAAACACAAATCTACAATAATTGCAGATACCATCGGCCTTATACGTGAAGAAATGAAGAAGAACCCAGTGACTCCGGAACAGAGGACTCTTCAGAGACAAGCAAAATATAAATTGTACAATGGTCTTGACCAGATTACAATTGATAAGATAAGGGTGGCTTATAAAGTTGATTTCTTAATGTTTGGGTATGATTCTTCGTCTCCATCTGGTGAACTTAGACACAGGACACCAAAGTAACCAGAAAACAAACAGCGAGCACGGAATTAAGTTCATGGAGGCATATACACGATCAATTAACGCATTGCTCTATGAATACAAAATATTTCAAGACAGGACATTAATTATTTTTAAGTAATTTGATAAATTGTGATATTGGCAAACAGGACAAAATCTATCGAGTTCATCATTTCTTTGTCTGGCCTTTCGTAAATACTCTGCAGTATATTACCATATCGACAGACAGAAATAAATCAAATTTCATCATTTCTTTGTCTTGCCTTTCATTAATACTCTGCAGTATATTACCATATCGACAGACAGGAATAAGTCAAATTTAATCATGCAATTGTCTTGCCTTTCGTTAATATCCTGCAGAACTTTAATCGTGGTTTTGGTCAAGAAATTGAGAGCAGAAAGGAGTTCCTCCAGATGTGAGTGAAATATGGTAAAACAAAATGAGAAATACAAAAGATTCAAAACAGAGGACCTATAACATCACGTTTTGCTATCTGCAAATTTTAAATTAAATTTTGCATAACATTTAATGTTTAGGCAATGCACCTGTTTTTATCTATATATGGACATTCTCCAACCCAAAAACCAACTTTGCCCCCACACCCAAACCCCGTATCACATACAAGAATATTTCGTTGTGATATTGCAGCACTTTATTTTCAATTATATTTACGCGAGCTATGTAATATATGTATGAGATCTTACATAATGACGTCAGATGCTACGTGTATCTCATTCATTCATCTTATAAAAAGTCCATATTTATTGCGAGAAATATTAAAAATATAATATCGGTGTACTGTATGTTGTATTATATATTTTCAATAACAAAACAGCAAATATACTTCCAAGCATACAGCTCTTCCAGACACATTTGATTCAATTTAACCTCTGATATAGTAATATCGATTCTGTATTATTTAAAGAGTGCTTATTCCATTGCATTCTCAATTCGATGTAATGATTCAGTTATTTTTACTTTAAATAATTTTATCGTTGATTTTATCCACACCCTGGCGTAGGAAGCTGTTTGCTCTTATCTATCAATGGTGATGGCAATCCTTCGTATTAAAAAGTCAACAAAGAGAGATTTAAGAAGGCGGATTTTCACTGTATCCAAACATTAAAAAATCTAATTTGTAAATATCTTTAATGTCATTAAGAACATCAGGTGACACAGTTCTATATTCGTTCACAAGCACTTTTCGTCTCTGTAAAACTCGCTGCTCTTCAGTCACCGGATTATTATCTAAATTCTGCATAATGACGGAAGTAACCATTTCTGGATCCTTCAAATCGGTTATATTTTTAAAAGCTCCGAAAGGAAATTCTGATGACTCATGAACGTGTCCTTGCATTTGCAATGATTTCCAGACTTTCTTGAGAAATATAAATCGATCAGGACAATCGCTGGAGTATAAGCGATATTCCGCTAGTAAAGACGATATCAGAGAAAATATCGTGTTTGCATACAATCCGTCAGAATGAAGGATTTTCTTTATACTTTCTTTTCTGTCTGTTTCCATCTGAATTTTATTTAGAGTGAAGTCAGCGTCTCGTGTCAATGTCTCCTGCTTTAATACTACATTGTATTGGAAAGAACATGGATCACACATGCGATAAACAGGTGACCAGTGGTCATCAAACTGGCCATGTTTGGTTCCTAACTCTGCCAGTCGGCTGAGAAATTCTACAAAGGAAACCTCGTACCCACAGTGATGATGGTCAATCCTTGCAAATCCCGTTTTCAATTTCAAGCCAAACATCCGATTAATCGCTCCCAGAAGGTACACCTTATCGATATATGTTGAGAATAATCGGGTGTAAGGATTTCTCGCTACCATGGAAGTAAGAAGAGGTGGTGCGCCTTGTTTTCTCATCCGCCCTGCAATCAAGGCAGCGCCATATTCATATGTACCATAATGAAGTTCTATCCTGCTAAGCTGGAAGATGGCGTCCACATCCAAGGGAGATTCTAAAGCTGTGAAGATAGCACCCCATAATGTCGACCCGGTTTTGGGTGCTTTACAGCATGCAAATCGAAGTTTTCTCGAATAGAAAAATGTTTTTGTATGCGTTTTATATTTCGATAGGTATTGTTTCCCTATCTTTGATTTACACACAGCACGTATCCTTGACAACCGTTGTGGTATAGCTTTCTCGACAGCAACATCAGCTTCCGGTTGACGTACTTGTATGTTGCCTCCACCAAACATCTTATATACATTATTAGAATCGTACAATTTGCGAGAATCATGGGATATTTTTAGATCTGAAATAGAAAAAAGAGACATTTTACTGGATCATGAATATGTGCATGATATATGGCAATAATATGAATGCAACTTATTTTCAAGAATAAAATGTCAACGTGAAGTCAGGTTTAAAGATTAGTACAAACGACACAAAACTTGGCAGAACATTCTGAATACAGTAATATAACGGGCGTCAAGGAAACAGGAGTGTTCTCGGTCTTTTTCCGCAACAAAACCAACATGGACAGCTTTCCATCAAGCTGTATGATAAACGTGACGATTTCAATTTCCCAATTGTGAATTTTCCATTTCTGGATAGCAATATCCCTGTATATCCAACCTATGGAATGCACATGTCAAAACTGATTCGATATCCAAGGCCCTGTTCCCATTATCACGATTTTCGTGCAGGAAGTCGGCAACTTACTGACGAATTTGTAACACAAGATGCAGGATGTTAAACAGTATTGGGAAATTTTATGGTCGCCATAGTGATCTCATTGAGAAATATTTTGTTTCTTTGTTTGACATGAAGCTGGACGTATTTGATGCTCGGTAGTTTGCCTGTTGGTTCCGTTGTTATATATCTTGTTCTCATTTAAGAATGTGACACTACTTACTTGGATTGACCAAGGTTAACATGGCGATGACGCTTACTCTTCCGGAACACCTGGTCTTATTGTCCTTAAACTTTTTTCAGGAGTCTCTTTGTAAATATTTCTGTTGTTCCTATTTAACCTAGTTTTATAGAATATGAGTTTGAATTATGATTATGTTACTATGTCGGTATTTTCTTGGTGCGTTTTAACACAAGGAAAAAAGAACAATATGTACAAATAACAAACATTTCTGAATTAACAATGTAGATTTATAAACAATATAATAATTGTTATGTGGACAATAGTAAGGATAGGAATACAAACACATGTTTACAAGATATTAACTACTAGCTATCTGTGATGTATGTCTAAAGCATGTCCTTCGTAGAGTTTTCCATATATATATATATTACTATTTTTTTTTTTTTTTTTGACTAGATGGGATAAAAAGACTTATTGGTATTTTTGACATTGTATTAGAGGTAAACTCCGTACTTATCGACTAGAGGTATATTTGCTCATAAACAATATAACAAAGTTTATTCATTGTACCCTGTGCCTCTAATGTATATTTCATATTCTCGATAACTATCAAGTCGAGTATTCATTACCACTAATATCGAATTTCAGATATTTGATTTTAACGTTCTATATCTAAATAGTAACTGTAATTTGAATAAATATCCAACTGTACTTTGTGTATTAGTAGGTAGCTGAATTATTCTATTGTAACACCAACCCAACTGTGAATACAAAATAATTTCAGCTATTTGAATGCCACTTGTTAAAACAGCGGTAGTTTTATTGATTTTGATAAGCTTCCCTCTTCCTCACTTGTACCTTGATTGTATATTATGTAACAGTTCGCCTGTATCCTTGCTATGTTCTATTTTTCTCATCTTTTGACCTTAATTAAGATACCAGCCATGAGTCACACACAAAAGATATTGCCATTTCAATTCAATACATGGGTTTGCATTTGCGTTTAAGATATAAACAAAATTCAATATATTAACTAATTGAAATCATCTACAATGGAAAAAACAAATGTTATAAGTTTTAAATCCGAATTTTTTATATACATACTGTTGTAAACGTTTAACTGTAACTATAATGATAAAACTTTGGTAAACACAACCCAGGAGGCATTTGCCGACAAAAAATAATGCTTGACATCAGCATATTAACAAAAACAAAAATGTTTAGATAGTTGTGTATATTTTCATCATTGTATGTAAAATACATTAGAATCCATATATCAATATGACTTTTTCCAGACACGATGAAATGTGTGCCTGTATCGACTATTTCGACAGTAAACTGTCTTCAAGTTGTAATTTTCCTTTGGTACAAACCAATAGCATGACAAATTAATACGTGTTATGTAAAATAGCATATTTTCGTGGCGCTCAAATTTCGCGGTTTTCAAATTATGTATATGTTCTTTGGTACTTGATCTCGTGGTTAGATCTTCCTCACAGAATCCGCAAGTACTATAATCCATCTCAACGTTTATCTATTTGAGTTTACAGTAATTAGGACTACGTACTAATAAACACTACAAGTACTGGAAATATTATATTTTCGAAGGTTAAAATTTTAGCGGTTTTACCGTTTTTTCACGGAAGTCATGGAATGTAATATTATTTTCTCTACATTGACAGTAATGCTGATGAAGTTACCCGTACATCACTGGAAATATATATATAACGTATACAAGTTGTCATAAAGGTGGTTCTAGATCGTATCCAAACAGCAGGAAGTCGAGTTTATACAACATCTTTATTCGACCGATGTTGTACTCGGTCACCCCTCGGAAAGCGTGCATGACAGCGTCCTGTCTTTGGTACTTTCTTTGGGTCAAACTGACTGGTTTTCTTTCAATTTCTCTCATGATAATAGTAATTATTTCGTTTTCGTAACTCTTGGATTTCTTTATGTCACGAAATGTTTGTATGGGATATTCCGAATCGTAATGAATAATTCCTTGGAATTGTAGGACTGTCCAAACTTTCTGCATCAATGACGATATTTCTGGACATTCCACTATAAACTTCTTTCGATCTTTGAGTATAGTCTTAATTAGCTGTCGCAGTTCTTGACGCATATCCATGTGACGAATCAACATTTTTATATCCTCAATATGGCTGATGTTTCTCTCCTTTTTAACAATGTCCAATACGAATTCAGCGTCTGATGACATCGTTTCCTGTTTGATGACGTAGTCTATGTTTAGATGACATGGGTTACACAGTCTTGTGACTGGAGCGTAATGATCATCAAACTGCCCTCCATCATGAGCTGAATTCAACAACGTTTCAAGAAAGTCTTGAAAAGTGACTGAAAACCCACATTTACCATCTCCAGCATCCTCTAAACCTTTCTTCAGACGCCGACCAAATTTCTGATTCAAGTCACTCAGTAGATATATCTTATCAATATATGCCGAAAATAGTCTTGAGTAAGGGTTCCTAGAAACAACTCCTATTTTCGATCCACGTTTTTTAGCCTCTTTAGAAAATACAAATCCTATTTCGTATTTCCCATCATGCACTTCGTATCGATCGAGCAAAAAGGCTTTCCGGACGGAGATTTCGCCTTCCAACGCATTGAAGATACGCGCCCAGAAAGTACTTCCGATCTTTGGGACTTTACACACAACGAGTTTTGCCTCTGATGAATAAAAGAATGCTTTTGTGACAGGTCGGTTAGCTGTCAAATAAGATGATACTTGTGGGCTATTACATCTCTCAGTCAAATGTTTCTTCCTTTCTCTGAACAGCTTCTCTTGGCTTCTTTTGACGTCCAAATCGAGCAAATTTGCATGTGATTTCAATGGTTTGGTCACTGTAGAATTACTAGGAGAGACAATAGAAAATTCCGTGTGTGTCTTTAGATCTGTCAATACAACAAATAGAAATCCGCTGATATTTCCTATTATTATCTCGAAGTTTCCATCGCCTTTCTTAAATTCATATAATTTCTATAATACTGACCACATTATGTGTTACCCGAAAAATTCAGTACAAACCCCTGCAATGTGGAGTTAGCATATATCTTATTTGTGTTTTTCTACAATCTCTTTTGTGTAATTCATATTCCCTATATACATGTTCCACACAAGGTTATCACAGTCAATTAAAGCCACATATTATGCTCTTAAACTTCTTATTGTCATTTATAACCAAAGAACATATAAAATATCATTGCAAGACAATTTTTGTTAAGTTGATGAATTTGATGTAAACGATATCAATATGAAGCCAAAAGTGATGACATTATTCAGTTCTAAGAAGGTAGTGACTACTACAATTATAATAGTAATAAAAATAAATATAAATACCAAACTCTGGGAGGATCTTACGTTTAAACAATCATTGAAAAAAAGCAACAAATTGGAATTAAAAACAATAACAAAAAACATCAAAATAATAATAATAATAAATGAATAAACATTTTTCAAGAAATTAGTCCGCTATCCCATTGACATGGCTGCACAATACAACAAAGTTGTCTTCAATAGAAAAATAATGTTTGTTTATATCTATTTTCTATTTTTTTTTTTTATAGATAGCGTGCTGTTTATACGTAAACAGTAGATACATTATAAAAAACGATTTGCAGTTAAAACAGTTCTTTCATGAGAGCAACAAAGAATGCCGTTGACAACATGTGTTTTATTTTCAATGCCCAAAAGATAGGTATGGGTTACAATATTTGTTTTTCAGGAAATATAATTGACAATTCAAGAGAGATGGACGTACACAATAAAACATGTCAGTATATGAAATATCTCTGATTACGTTGTAGAGAGTTTTGCGTTTGGTTTTAAGTTATTTAACGTTCTGGTAATAACCAAGATTACAGGATGACGGGAGTTGGTAGAATTGAAGTTATCAAACATCACCATTAAAATCACCAAACATACATACCAATAGCTTTAGAAATAGCCGATCATCACAGAGGTAATATAAACAGTTAAAACGAAACATTCCTAAATGTTATCAAATGGACTTACCGTATGCAGTAGTGATATACCACATAAACAGAATGGTCATGCATGCAAGAGAAATCAACACACACGTAATGGTGACTTTAACCATTATGGCGTAAGTTCTCTCTGTTCTCTGTCAGTGGTACACACGTTAAAAGCTGGACCCGTCGGACATTAAAACATTACCTACTGAACTAACATATTTATCTCAAGTCCAATCTTCATTGTATAGTAAGCCTACATGTTCAACAGTGTAGCGGGGCTCTTCATTGCCAAACTTAAATTTGTTTTGAATCTTCGCGAATTGTTGAAGGTTTTCATTTCAACTGCAAATGCAACAAGCATTCATATGACAAAAAATTATTGTCCTAAATCATTACATTTCAAATAACTTGTGTATGAAAATTTGAGTAAAATATATTTGACGCTAGACGTGTTTTGGCAAAAGACACACAACTTCAGATCCGAAATGAACAAAAGCTTTGTTAGCTTGACTATAAACAACAGCAGATAAGAATATTTTTAATTCGATCGTAAGTATAGAAAAGTCAAATATTCAGTATAATACAAAGTATTTAACTGTATCTTTAAAACATTGTTATAGTCATGATTATCGTCAAAACATTCTACATAAGAAAAACAATATGTCTTAAATCTAATTTTTGTTATTAGCAGATATCCCTGTTAATTAAGCTTTAAAGAATTTAAACCAAATCCGACTCAGCAAAACTAGATACCGATCAAAGCTGTATTGCGGGTATTGAAGATCGAGCTACATTTGGATACTAAACAAAGGCTTGTGAATGGGTATAGAATATCACGAGGTTATATCCTACACTGCCCAGTAATACTGCACCAAATACAGAGTTAGGGATTCAAGTGTTTAACATTAAGTGTTCTGTATACACGATATACTTGCACGTGCTCAGTTTTATCATAAGGTAAACAGGAGAATATCATAAATATAAACCGATTTCCTCTAATCTTTATAAGTGTTGGAGGTGTTTTGACAATATGACCATCAAAATCTTGAAATTATTCACTGATATAGTATAAAGCATATTAACACAACGTGTTTCCTACCCGGCAAAGTTTTGGCTAGAATCCGTGCTCTTCCGCGTTTATAGATAAAGGATTGGAAAAAAATATAGATTTCTTTACAAAAATAGTCAGTGTTGCTTATATGCATTTAGAGTGCGATATCATGGCTCATGAACAGACAAATGTGAGCAGGTCCCTTTTGACACGCATGGTACAATGTGTAGCTATATTTCTCCGTTTATATAACATGGAGCCAAGGGGATCTTCTGGGGTATTTGTACCAAAGTGTTAGGATATCAATAGCGCGTCAAAATGGTATTGGTGTTGTTGTTTTTTTTTTTTTTTTTTTCATTTTTATGAAAACGGAGAATATTTAGTAAATACGAATATGATTTCCACGTCGCGATGAAAGCATATTAAAGAAACGTTCGGAGAGTCATACCACACCCAAACTTTGATTGACACCCCTGTTAATGAAATCAATTTTATTGTCATTCGAGCCACAGCTTTTCTCTGGTAGGAGAGATTCAGCACACATTTGGAATGACAATTTCCACAATATGCCACCACTCTGAAAGTCTCTGTTGTTTAATATCAATAAAGAAGATATAATGTATAAACGTTTACTATCATAAGGCAGTATCAGTTTCCAACTTAAGTGATAACCAGGGAAGAACATAAATAGCGATAAATCTTTTAAAATTCTGGTTGGCCTCAAAATTCATTTTTTCCTGTTTCTTTTGACATGTCACTATTCAGACCAATGAAGATACGTCTAATATGGTCCAAGATATATAAAATAATTGTTTAAGGACCCATGACAGACAGACAACGGACCGATGATGATGATGGAATAAAAATGGAGTAGTATTACGAAATAATTTCTTTTTTATAATTTTTCATCGTTAATACATATTTTTCTTGTAATAAGGAAAAGTCTGCTTACATTGCTAAAATTCTTGGTACCTCTTGAAGGATCCTGTTTTCATTCTCTCTCTGAATAAGGATATATATAATTTTATTGGCATTCATATTTAATTGCCTACACGTACTACACCTGGTGTGGGTAATTTCATTTGAACAGGTTTCAGTATTATCAAGGAGAAAAACGTTTCCTATGTATTAAAAAAGACAAAGAACAAAATGATAATTTTCTTATATAGGTTTTATAATTTCATATATCATGGTATATCACATGTTAAACAAGTTGCTATGAAATTAATTCACACCTAGATTCCTGTATAAAAATAGTGAATTTAGAGCAACTGAATTTATCTTACATTCAAGTTTGCAATAATAACAACATATTCAGTGAAACTATACATAAAAAGTTTATCATAAGGTCACCCATCACGGTTAGTCATTCATACTAATTATGGTTTTCAAAGAAAAGAGTTACTCAGAAATCAGGGCAATAAAAAATTGTAGCCATGGCGACTATCAAAATATTAAACCAGATAAAGATCAACATTTAAAACAAAGAAGCTGTAATGGAACTGACATCACCTTGAAGACTATTTACATGATGGTCGGTTTTATAAATTTTGAAACCAAAGGGCAGTAACTCTTGTCTGAGAAAACCAGTGTTATGTATATAAACACATTAAGAATCCTGATATGCAGTATGCTCTGTATTGAGTCTTAGTGCAAAAAAAAATGCCATACAGATAAAAAGACAATCTCCATTCCTTAACATACTAAACCTACAACAAAATGATCCACATGTGGATTCTGTAACATACATCCTCTCACTACCAAAGATTTTAACAAGCCAAAACCACATTTACACTGTACATAATCAATAGATAGATAATCATATGGTATGATACATTCTGTACATCTCACACATCCATAGCTATACATATGGACAAATGAAATTGCATAATACCCCTGCTGTATTCTGAACACTTCAAACTTACTTGATACATCTTGAACAAAGCAATACAGTTACTAGGTGAACAAAACAGAACTTAAGTAAGCTGGTAACAGGACTGAACCTTAACTGGAGAACACTTGTTCAACATATTTCAGGCCTTAAAATAGTCAGTGAGAATGTAAATTGGACCAAATCAATTGTGTTACGTAAAGTAGATTAGAAATTTTGCCAGCAGAGGTAACCTGATCAAATCTAAACAGCTTGTTCTTACATTCTCTTGGCAGAAAAATAATTCAATGTGAAGATCTTAATGATAAAGTTATACAAAATCACTTACATGTCTAAAATTATTTCAAAACAAACTATATAATCTAAATAAAATGTGCAACACATCAATCATCAGAATTCCTGACAAGGCCAGAGTCCTAGAATTACTTCCCTTTGTTTTACTTGAACTCTTTTGGAAAGTAGGATGTAAAATAAAAAAAAATGTTTTCCTTTCAAGTTTCCAAATTAACAGTTCATAATTGAGCAAAACATTGTCTAACCTTTTCAGCTATTCTGATTTTAAACTTGAAATTTTCTTTAAAAGTTTTTTGCAAAAAAATGTTGCTTTATTGATAATTTTCATAATGGTGTCATAATTTTGTATTTTTTATAACATCACAAGTTTTGTCTACATGTCAGAAAACTGTTTTGCTTATAACTTTTCCCTATGAAGATCTTCAAATCTTATATCAAGGTTAACAAGCCTGAATAAATATATATTGAAATAAACTACAACAGAAAAAATATATAGAAACAAAGCCAGCTTTGGCATTTGTTGGAAAGAGATATTTAAAACACCTGTACAAGTTGATTCGTATCATTGGCAGCATTCTAACCACACTATCCCTCTAGAAACTCTCAAACTCCCATTTTATCCTATCACACTCTCCTTTATTACTTCTGTCATCCCTTCGTTCTTTGTTTTTATCTCTTTAACACACAATTTTCTATCTCTATGTGTTTTCTCTCTTTAACATTCATCTTTCTGTTTCTTTTATTTCACTTTTACTCTTTATAGCTATGCAGCAGTAATTACATCTGTTGTTTGTGAATTTCTGCTTCAAAATGCCCACAATTTCACAACTGATTTCGCTCTTAATTTCGTCTTAATATTCCACTGTCTTTCTATCACTTCCCCAATCCTTTTCCTCGATCTTACTCTGATGGTGTCTCAATCTTTACAGGTCTAATAATTCCATATAGTCTCTCCGCATATAATTGAAAATAAATAACACAATAAATATTGTGTTTGCCAGAAGTGTTCAGGCCCAATGGCCACCTCGCAGTGATGCCCTCAAAATCAATGACATCACACCTTAAGAAATGATGTTATTATCTCCCCTAGTGTTGCATATTAAAAGTTACATCGTAATGAGGTAACCAAAAATGTGTTATATGAAATGTGTTCAGATGACTGTTAGACTTGAAAACATTGGCGAAACACCACATTTGTTGTGTTCAAATTATTTTTCATATACCTAATCATTACACAAATATCTCTAAATTTTACTCTCTCTCTCGCTCTCTCTCTCTCTCCTTTTCTCTCTCTCTCTCCCCCTCTCCCTCTCTCTCTCTCTCTCGCTCTCTCTCTCTCTCTGTGTATAAATACATATATGTATGTTTCTATCTACTCCTGTACTTTCTCTCACGGACATGTACTCTGGGACAAGGAATGCAAATATGCAATCTGTACATACATTAAAAACTGGCATTAAATGTAGGTCTTAGTATCGGGACATCTTGGAAGGGTGAAATTTACGCCCATTAGGTCTAACTAACTAGGAGAGCAAAATAAAATGCTATTGTAATCATTAGCTAGCTACATAGATGAGGAAAAACCACATCCCTAACACAGGACTGGATGCTGGAGAATATGGTGTATCAGACTCAGAAGGAGGCCGACACTTTGATGTCTAGTTACATAGGGGGAAGGAATAAAACTGTTACTACAGAGGTTGCTATATGGGGTGAGTGAGTGCAGTGTGCGACCTGGACAGCCAATTTAAAGATGTGCAAGCTTTAAGATAGTGAGATTACAAGTATTTTATTATAGTAGATATAGAACTCTTCCCTGCATTTAAAGACTGTACAAAGTGCTGAAAGACATTTAAAAACTTCTGCCAATATGGAATGATTGTGTGTGACTTTAGCTATATACAGGATAGTAAGGATATTTACATTGCTAGCTTTGTTGCACATTCAAACATTTTTCATTTACACAACTAGTACTGTTGAACACCGCCAGACTATAAACATGTAATGTACATAACATTGATTCTTGTAATTATACAAACAACAGCAGTTCACAGAGACCAACCTCAATAATATGAAGGAGACAGTAAGCATGCATATCTCTGGTTGTGAGAAAGAACCTAAGGCCAGGAGAATAAATATCTGGTCAAGAGAATGTCTCTAAGGCCAGGAGAATAAATATCTGGTAAAGAGAATGTTTCTAAGGCCAGGACAATGAATCTCTGGTCAGGTGCATGTCTCTAAGGCCAGGAGAATAAATATCTGGTAAAGAGAATTTTTCTTAGGCCAGGACAATGAATCTCTGGTCAGGTGTATGTCTGTAAGGCCAGGACAATGAATCTCTGGTCAGGTGCATGTCTCTAAGGCCAGGAGAATAAATATCTGGTCAGGTGCATGTCTCTAAGGCCAGGACAATGAATATCTGGTCAGGTGCATGTCTCTAAGGCCAGGAGAATAAATATCTGGTCAGGTGTATGTCTCTAAGGCCAGGACAATGAATCTCTGGTCAGGTGCATGTCTCTTAGGCCAGGACAATGAATCTCTGGTCAGGTGTATGTCTCTAAGGCCAGGACAATGAATCTCTGGTCAGGTGCATGTCTCTAAGGCCAGGACAATGAATATCTGGTCAGGTGCATGTCTCTAAGGCCAGGAGAATAAATATCTGGTCTAAGGCCAGGACAATGAATATCTGGTCAGGTGTATGTCTCTAAGGCCAGGACAATGAATCTCTGGTCAGGTGCATGTCTCTAAGGCCAGGAGAATAAATATCTGGTCAGGTGTATGTCTCTAAGGCCAGGACAATGAATCTCTGGTCAGGTGTATGTCTCTAAGGCCAGGACAATGAATCTCTGGTCAGGTGCATGTCTCTTAGGCCAAGAGAATTAATCTGTTAAAGAGAATGTCTCAAATGCAGGAGAATGGATCTGGTCACGAGAATTTCTCCAAGTCCAGGTGAGCAAGTCTGGTCAAGAGACTGCTTCTAAAGGCCAGATTAATGAATCTCCAGTAAAAACAATGTCTCCATGGCCAGGAGCATGAACTTCCAGTAAGATGAATCATCAGAACATCAGATGGAGGATTCCAAAATGTCAATTCTAATGTCAAGGAAAGTAAATCAAAAATTCTAAAGGAAATATTTATGTAGCAGAAAAATTTTAAGATATTTAGAATGCATTTTCAAAGATGTTCTGATGGTCAGAGATGAATATGTAAAAACCATTTTGTCAGAGACAATTATGAAAAACTCTTGAGGTCAGAAGACAACAACTCTATATAGAGAGACTATCTAATATTAAGTACTTTGTAACACTTCAAGTGTTCCGAAAAAGGCATCAAACAATTTCTACATGTAATTTCTGAAAGAATTTCAGAACTTAGCTACTGAATCCTGAAATGTAAAATCCCATCAAACAAACCAGTTACATAATATTATGTAAATCATGACAAAATTTGATTACTAAGATTTTCATGAAAAGTTTTTACAAGAGAATCCTGATCCACATTATGTAAAAACTTGGATCTATTTTCTCACAAAATACCATTTGATATTATTACCAAATGAACCCATTCATTCCCAAAACATCTGCTGCAGTGAAATTCTCATCCACATCCATTCTCATAAAACTGCCATGATATTCTTGGTCGTAAAACCATGTGCGGAGAAAAATAGTTCAAATTCTGGTTACACTATAAGCTAACACTAGAGACAGGGAATGTGATTTATGATACAAGGACTATATATATGTTACTATGAGTCTTTACTAATTAACTTCCTCTTTTGAAAGTATTCATTTCAACCTAAAGTTTACATATTAACAATAAACAAAATGATTACAAATATTAAAGTATAGTCTGTTTCAGAAAAATCCAATTGTAGCACTTATTATGAAATTGACCATTGGTATAATGAAGAATAGAAAAAGTTCATACTAATCTATTTTAGGCAAATTGTGTTAAAATTTCATACCTAAGTTAACAGAGAAAAACCATTAATTTAACACTCATTTGACCCCGTTTTCTGAATCAAACTATGAACAAAATTCAGTTTTATGCAAACAGTTAAGAATCTTCAGAAAAATAAATACATGTTAAATATTGTTCTATAATGAAACTGAATGAAGTTCATATTATCAGTAACCAAAAATAACCTTCGATAGTAGGAAAAGTAATACACAGATAATATACAAATATAGCTAACAAATAACTCAAAAAAGTGATCAGAATAAAAAACAAAAATTAAGAACATCATTAAGTGTATATCTTTTGTGCACCATCCCTTCTTTACAAATTACCTTGGAAATTTCATTCATACTGTAAGGAATTCAGGTATCTTTTAGGAGTTTTCACTCTAAACTAATCAGAAATACACTGAAATGAAAAATACTTTCATTGCTATTTTCTTTCATGATTCATCCTTATATTTCCTTTTTTTTTTTAATTGATCAGCTGTTTTCTGTATAACACACCCATCACCCCCACCCTCTCCCCTCCCCATACTTTTACAGCACTGACTCTTTAGATGTAATTAAGCTGTAGTCTTATATCCCAGTAATTTTTGGCTCATTAAGCATTGCCCCGCAATGTGATATCAATAACACAGAATCTTTGTTTGCAAAGACCTGATCATGTGTGGACAACTCTCCTACACACCTTCCGAGTCACTGTACCAACTCAATCATGTCCTTAACTGTTGAAATATGATACAGTTATACTACAGATTGTTAAAACATGTATACAGAACATTTGGCTTCATGGATGCTAATTCAAGTTTGAATTTTACATATTCAATGAAGACAACTTAAGTCATAAAATGCACAATTTTCAATGTACATGAACCAAGATTTCATGGTGTATTTTCCTCAAAATTAACATGATGATGTTTTGGAGATTTGTTCAGACGTCTCTTCTTCAACTACTATATCATGTTAACATTATTCATTTCACCAAGAAAACTATCCAAAAACCTGGTCAAATATTACCTCTTTATGGATAAAATGGAAAAGCTTGTATCTCAAATTCAAAGAAATCCATAATGGCATTTATCTAAGATTATTTCTAACGTTGGCAGACATGATCTGTCCTTACCACTGAGGCACAAAAGCTTAAGCCTGAAACAAACATTCACTGTACACGTTGAAGCTAGAACCTAACCACTGTATTTAATCATTTACTGATTTAATCTTAGCCTCAGGAATAATACCCAACATTTTACATCAGCATTATGTGAAATGATCTCAAATTCATTCAAAAGGCTGCCACTGATTGGCTAACTATGGGCTGAGGGACATGTAACAGCAGCAATAATTGGTCGGGGCACAGTGCTGTTCCTAAGTTGTATTCTTACTTCAGTTTTATATCATAATATGACTGTGATGAACTGTATATATATATATCCATTATACCATCTATAAAAGCACCCGGTTGTCCTATCCTGGATCTCCATTCTCTACACTCCAACACACTACATTAAGTATCACATAGTAACTTTGCACTTGACTTGTTCGTCAATCGCTAATTAACCAACAACACATTTTTTGGTAAAAATTCTTTTCCAATGAAATGAAAAAACGTTTCTAAGTTATTTAAACAATTAGTCACATGACCCGTTGCATGCCATACAGCAGACGTAACGATAAGTCACATGGCCTATAGACTGCTGCAAGGCAGACATATGATAGGTCAATCACATGACCGGTTGCATGCTGGGAATGATGTACGTAAAATTTGTAATGGCTGACCAAGCGTTGTTATACTCCACTGGAAACCACGCACAATTTTGCAAAGATATTTAAAGAAAAGCACTTCACTGGCTAGGACGGTCTGCAACAAAACAAAAATTAGTGTTTAACAGTAGTGTAACATTAAAAAGACACATTTTGAATAGTAATAAATTATAAAATTAAAGTTTCAAATTTTCATAATAATGCAAGCAAAGTAGAATGATTAAGTTTTGTATAGTTCTGGTTGGAGATTATTACTAAGCTGTTTCATCAGAAAATTCACAAAAAGAGGATCTTAAGACATTAAAATGCTGTTTACTGCATGAAGTAGATACTATTATAAACATTTGTTTAAACTTCTTTTGATTAGACAAGATGTAATGACAGAGTCGGCAGCCAACCACAGCTACCGTGATATGTGTTACTACACTGATGACAGTGTCTGTAGCCAATCACAGCTACTGAAATAGGTGTTATTACACTGATAAAAGGGGAGATAGTCAATCATAGCTACCATACAGTGTGTTATTACAATGATAACAGGGGAGGTAGCCAATCATAGCTATCATACAGTGTGCTATTACAATGATAACAGGGGAGATAGCCAATCATAGCTATTATAGAGTGTGTTATGACAATGATAACAGGGTTGATAAGTGATAAATGATATACAAAGGACATTTAATGGTTTCCCGTTTAATATCATCCATGTTTAAAGAGTAAGTCAGAATATGTTTTTCATGATTGAAAGAAACATACGAGTGGAATATATTATGATTATAATGGGAAACCCTTAATTTTTCTTATTATCACATTTTAAAAATGAAAAACAAATGAAAACAAAATTTAATGATAAAAGACTTGTTAGAAAATGTTTGGGAAACAAAAGTGCGTCTTTTGATGTCGGATAGTTTGATGTTATGCTTGATACCAAGATGATGCCATTTTTAATAGGCTGCTTTACGCTGTATTCAACCATTTTATGCTGTTATCTGGAAATACTTTTTTATATACTAAAAGAGAGAAAATCAGAATTCCACACGAGAACTATTTGATGGAAAACCAACTTATTCAACCTTGTCATCATTTGTGTCCACACAAGAAAGTTGGCAAATTTCAATGGAGTGACTAGAAAGTAACACTATGGTTGGTCATCAATGGAAAAGTTACACACCATCACTGGTGATGATACAAGATTTTCATCTATGGATAAATTCCTACATTTGACAGGCAACAATGTAACAGTCTCTGAGACAATTTGTGAAACAGCTGCTTAAGCTTACCCTTATCTCTTGACCTTTTCAACTGCCCTCCTGATATCTTGCTCTGACATGTGTGACATAGCTAATCTTCCCATCAATCCTGCCACTAAATCATCTGTGATGCCTGGACAAGATTTCTCTGCCAGCTCAAAGGCATTCCTGAGTTCATCAACAGCTTCTGTTCTCTGTATAGGCCGACCATTACGACGGTACTCCTCCTTGTAATCGTCCTTTAACTAGACATTAAAATTGAATATTCAGTAAAGGAGAGTAACGTTACGTGTTTTAGGTACATAAACAACAATATGTATCACAAGTGTTTCATAACTCTTCAGTAATGGAGGTGAGAATGGATATGTCATATATCTTTGATAAAGGAAGGGAGAATGGGAATGAATCAAGGTCAGATTAAAATCTAGAAATGGATATATCATCAATTGAACAATAAACACTGTCAGCAGTGGAACGTTTATTTTATAATACTAAGTAGAGAAATTGTGGCTATGTTTGATGTCACTTCTTCCATGTATCATTTTTTATTTTAATAATAAAACAAGTAAGTCTAATTGGAATTTGCCAGCCTCTGTCCATCCAGTAGTATAGGCTGACTTAAGTAATGTGCTGTTTTTAATTATATCTTCAGATGAGAGTAGTTCCTTCAAAATATATATGAAACAGACAGGATAGATCCCAACACTCAAAATTTGGATGTAATTATGCTATACAAACCTTGGACAGCAAAGGAACAACTGTTGAAGTTAGGCTGGGTGACAGACGAGGGATATCAGGCATCGACACAGGACGCGGGGGCTGAGGGGCCTGTGGCCTCTGTAACAAAGGGGAGATCACTCTCATAAATACAAAAATTCTCCTTTGAACACATAGCAATTACATTAATTCTGTGCTGTTGCCAAGTCAAACTGTGATCTTGAATCCTTAACTTGGAATTGCAATTATTGAAAGTAGCGTTGAAATATTTCATAATATTTAAAACTAATTACCAGGTAAAATCTTCAGAATCCAGTACCCATGTTGTGATATTACATTATAGAAGACAATCTGTTTCAATTCTGAGACAGTTTGTTATCATAAAACATCATAAATAATTATTTTGCATAGTGTTTTTCTTTAAGATATTTTATCTCCTAAATTCTTTTAAGATATTCATCTTCAAAAAACATCAGGCATGATGTAAAAAGACTACACTATACAGATAAACAAGACTATATTATAATCCAATATACCTCTCATGCAACATGCAGCTTTTGTGGACCAATCTATATGTAAACTTTTACTTATCTTCATGCCTTTTTCAATTTCCATAGTATTATGTAGTTCAAACATGTACCAATGTATATAAATAACTATACCTCACCCCAATACCAAGTTATCTAAGGTGTTAATAAAACAGTGCTTAAGTATGTAACAAAGAAAAATTATCTATGGGTTTAAAATTAGACAAGAAAATCATTATTAAGAAACATATTAGTAGAGAAAAAATCCTGAAAAAGAAGTTAAATTGTTTCTCAATACATAAAAAAATATCACACAATACGAATATATCATGTACAAGTAAATGTTTTTAAAAAATACATACATTTCAGTTTGCATGTGATTTTCACTTATAAAAAATTGTAACAAACAAATTGTCAAAAAAATATTCAATCATAAATATCTGTATTGTATAATATTTCTGCACATATTTCAGAGGGATCTTTGTGTCCACCATTGCATAATATTTCTTTTCTAATCGTTCTTCCTATTTACCTTTGAAATAAATATCAAGCAAATAACAAAGGAAAACTTCTTGGTAAATGTACCAATCAGTATTGGAATATAATAATGAGAATTGTATAACTTAATATCATGAGAAGCGTACACCTAAAAATTCAGAATGGTCCCTCAAGTACTTTCTGCGAAATACTACTGATCATTAAACTTGAATCACTACCTCCATGATGGCTGCCTCCCAGTCATCTTGGTTTCCATTATTTCCAAATCATAAAAAAACATATTAGATTTCAGAAAGTTCCATTTTGCAGCATTTCCTGAAAAGTGGCATTAACAGAAGTTGTTTATGAATTGACAACTGAAATGGCAGCGCGGACAACAGACGAAAGACCAAATGAAAACACTATCACCTGTGGTTGGTGGCCTAAAAACAAAGCACATGAATCCATGACTTGACAAAAATATCGTCATTTTTGCAGATTGTCTTATGTTTAGGTAAGCTCCTTTTTTTCATTTTCGCTTTGTACAAAATCAGGAATGGAGAGTGTTTCATGATGAATCATCACACATGAAGAAATTTGTAAATCTGCAAATTTCTTAGTACATGCATATGTAATTCAGCCTTTATGTTTCTTACATCTTTAAAACTTCAAGGAATAAAAATTAATGACAAAACCATTCTGTTTGGATCAATGTGTCATATAACCAAAAGCTTATAAAATTCTGTATGCAAAATGGGCATTAGTAAATGTACAGATATATGTAGACTAAAAACTAACATCAGAAGACAAATGCATTTATATGTGCTTAACTTTAACAGCAATGCAGTATTTTGATACATATTCAGTATAGCATAGCCAGGTAGCTGATTACAAATCGATAGTCTCCTTGGAAGTGAACTGGGCCATGCTAATAAAAAGATTCGCCAGGAAAGTCATGAAATAGAATCTCCTGCAGAACCGCATGCTGATGTTATGTATGTCACATACTTGTGAATAAGAATGTCAGATAATCTTATATCAATCTCTAAACAGGTACTTAAGGTCTAGAAAGTCTGTTAATGAAGCATGCAAATCACTGAAATCAAATCTCAAATCTGTATAGGTTTTATCTTGTGTTGTCTTCCTTTTGTTTCTAAACATGGAGATTCAACTGATCAATGATACAAGGTATTAACTGTTACAAGCAAAAATCACAACGCAAATCAGTCGTCTCTAAGGAAGACATGACAGTCAGCTTCATTTGTAGAAATGCAAGGATATCCAAAAAGAATTTTCTGGAAAATTTTCCACATGCCTGGCTCTGAAAAATTTCGCAAGCTTGATAACATTTTTATATTTTTTTTTTTCCTCTAAACTTTTATTTCAAAGTTACTTCTCAATGCAATGGTATGATAAAATCTTCATTAAACAGCTGATGATTATATATTGATCGTTATTCGACAAATTTTGTTATGGTGAATTTGTCTGGTATGAAAAATCGCACACGCTAATCATAAAAATCCAAATAGCTAATACTTATGATCATTTGCTGGCGATACAGATGAAATAAAAAAAGCATTTTTGGCTTGAATACAAACTGTATAACAACATGTTTGTTACACATTGAGCAAGCATTTTATATTTATGATGTGCACACTGAATGGATCATAGGGACTTTTATAAAAATTCAGTTTCATGTACATAAAAATTTATAACCACAAAAATTCTAATTTCACATGAAATTTCTTTAAAGGCTTACAAATTCACTTTCAAATTACCAAGAATTCTTAACAAGACTATTTCATGTGAACAAGCTTGCAGTAAATGCACAAATTTAAATTAAGCATCCAACTGGAATAGAATTAGAACTAATGATAGAAGCATCAGAGTTACGTAAACAGGACTATCGTCATGCTGGAGAAGAAAGAAGATCAATCGTTAGTTTATATTAGGCATTTCTGTAAGAACAATGCTTGAAGAAGCCTTCAACATGCAGCAACATGCGGAATCTCAAATGGCAGGCCCCTATTGGACAGAAATCAATGTAACAGATGTTTTGATTGGTCAGTAAGAAGATGTCAGGACATGAGTTTCAGTCTTATTGGTTAATTCAAACTGAAGAAAATTGAGATTTAATTTGAAAAGGTAAAGATGCAAGATTAAGGTTTAATTGCAAGTACAAGTCGAGTCAGAATATGTCAGAATGCAGAGCTGTAATTCATTAGTAAATTCTACTTCATCTTATCGTATTCAAATATTGTAAATTCCATTTAAAACATCGAAAATATACCAGTAGTTTTTTTTTTCAAAATGCAAAATGAACTTCATTTAGCAAGGACTTTTATTCCTCATTTTCTTTTATGAATATCAATATTAAACCTTCCCCCTCCCTCCAAAGATCATGTTAACACTTTCTCCCGTACTATGCCCTATGTTTCCCTTGATACATTTTAAAGTCCTTTCATACTGCTCATATTCTGCCTGATAAATCAGAACAAATTGAAATAAAAACAGCATTTAGTCACATTTATCAGGTGATAAACTTGAAGCCTGGTACTCCAATGAAATCATGAGGAAATGAATTTCAAACAGATTAAACAAAGAACTTCAATTAAAATATTTGTCAAGAAATTAAGCGAGCAATATGTAAAGCAGCTGAGTCATGATAAACTAATTTTTTCCCAAGAATTTTTTTTTTTTTAATTATTTTTTAAAATACATGTAACAAATTATATCTTCAAACTCTTCATAAATTGAAGGTTTATCCTAGCTGTATGTCTCAATAAGGTAGAGCATCATTCCAGTGGACACATATTGTTGGTTGGTTGGTAGTAACAGGTTTTCTGTCTCCATGACTCCTGTTACTTAGTGTTGTTTAATCACTGAACGTCAGTGTTCTGGCAACCTAATGGGGCTAAGCCAACTTTATAACATCTGAATGTTGAATTATTTTGGGAGACACTTCTCAGTTCTAAAGGTATCTTAACCTAACATTGGTGAAGATGAGTATGTTTGTAACATCATACACATAAACTTTATCTACCTTTAACATACCAAAATGTTTTAAATATTTCTCAGACACTCTTTCCTATGAGAAGTTATGATCCAACCTTGAGCTGTACTAGCTGATCAGCTTTGATCTGTACTAGTCAATCAAAGGCATTGTAACAAAAAGATATCATTGTTTATGCTATGGAAAGACAGTATGAAAATTTTGGCAAACAGAACAGCTTTTTCAAGCAACATGAGGATATCTGAATAATAACATTGACGTAATAAATGATGTATTCTGACATATTACTGACACTTCTTCTCATATTTAAATCATATCTAAGGTTTAGATGTTGTAAGGAATAACAAATGTTTCAATATATTCCTGTAACACTTTTTAATTTTTATTTTGTATTTCATCTGTGAAATTTTTTAATCTTGGACTTCCAACAATTTCAAAAAGATTGTCAAAATACTCTTCTAGTACTTTCTCCTTTTTTTTTCTTTACTTTTATAAGTCTTGAAAAAATAATGACCAGTTTTTTCCAAAACAGGTATGATTTCTAAAATTTCAAGTTTGAGATAGTGTTTATAGAACAGGTTTTTTTCAATCAAAACATTGTATGAGATAACAGTGTTAGGTTCTGACACATCCTTGAATTCCTGACTTCAATGTCCCAGGGGCCAGACAATACTTAAAACACCTCTTCCCGTGCGCTGGAACAGGGCCTGCCAAGATGAACCCCTGAGCAGGGGAGATAACTCACATAATATCCACCATAGGGTCCATGTGACATATCCTTGGCTTGTATGAACCGATCCACATGTTGGTCCGATTGATGGTTAGTGCTACTAGGCACATCATACTGGGATTTGGGTCGAGATAAATGCTACAAATGTGGTTACAGAAAAATAAACACATGAATGTCTTTCTACTGTATAAACTGTAATTGTAGCATTACGATTAAAATTTTATATATATCCATCACCCCTAAATTCCTTCATCACTGCAAGAAAATATTCAGATTTTTCTCCAAAGACTGTAATCGTTCTATTGAAGTCTCCAACTCCTGTCCCTAAAAAGGCTTAAAATAAGATATACAACACATTCAACTAATTGTTATCTTCAAAGCAAAATTCACAGCAAAACTCAACATGTAGATTAAATAGCTGGTTTGAAGTTAGTAAAAATCAGGGCAGAAACCATCTCAAAGCACAAACAAAGAGGTTTTTGTGGTAAATTCAATCAATCAGTATAAACTCCAAGTACAATTTTATAGGACCACAAGGTTAGGTCAGAAAGACATGTAAACAGTACCTCAAGGATACTGTCAGAAAGACATATAAACAGGACCACAAGGATACTGTCAGAAAGACATGTAACAGTACCACAAAGATACTGTCAGAAAGACGTAAACAGTACCACAAGGATACTGTCAGAAAGACATGTAACAGTACCACAAAGATACTGTCAGAAAGACATATAAACAGGACCACAAGGATACTGTCAGAAAGACATGTAAACAGTACCACAAGGATACTGTCAGAAAGACATGTAAACAGTACCACAAGGTTACTGTCAGAAAGACATGTAAACAGTACCACAAGGATACTGTCAGAAAGACATATAAACAGGACCACAAGGATACTGTCAGAAAGACATGTAACAGTACCTCAAAGATACTGTCAGAAAGACATATAAACAGGACCACAAGGATACTGTCAGAAAGACATGTAACAGTACCTCAAAGATACTGTCAGAAAGACATATAAACAGGACCACAAGGATACTGTCAGAAAGACATGTAAACAGTACCACAAGGATACTGTCAGAAAGACATGTAAACAGTACCACAAGGATACTGTCAGAAAGACATGTAAACAGTACCACAAGGATACTGTCAGAAAGACATGTAAACAGTACCACAAGGATACTGTCAGAAAGACATGTAAACAGTACCACAAGGATACTGTCAGAAAGACATGTAAACAGTACCACAAGGATACTGTCAGAAAGACATGTAAACAGTACCACAAGGATACTGTCAGACAGACATGTAAACAGTACCACAAGATACTGTCAGACAGACATGTAAACAGTACCAAAGGTTAGGTCAGAAAGACATGTAAACAGTACCACAATGATACTGTCAGAAAGACATGTAAACAGTACCAAAGGTTAGGTCAGAAAGACATGTAACAGTACCACAAAGATACTGTCAGAAAGACGTAAACAGTACCACAAGGATACTGTCAGAAAGACATTTAACAGTACCACAAAGATACTGTCAGAAAGACATATAAACAGGACCACAAGGATACTGTCAGAAAGACATGTAAACAGTACCACAAGGATACTGTCAGAAAGACACGTAAACAGTACATTAGGTCAGAAAGACATGTAAACAGTACCACAAGGTTACTGTCAGAAAGACATGTAAACAGTACCACAAGGTTACTGTCAGAAAGACATGTAAACAGTACCACAAGGTTACTGTCAGAAAGACATGTAAACAGTACCACAAGGATACTGTCAGAAAGACATGTAAACAGTACCACAAGGATACTGTCAGAAAGACATGTAAACAGTACCACAAGGATACTGTCAGTCAGACATGTAAACAGTACCACAAGGATACTGTCAGAAAGACATGTAAACAGTACCACAAGGATACTGTCAGAAAGACATGTAAACAGTACCACAAGGTAACTGTCAGACAGACATGTAAACAGTACCACAAGATACTGTCAGACAGACATGTAAACAGTACCAAAGGTTAGGTCAGAAAGACATGTAAACAGTACCACAAGGATACTGTCAGAAAGACATGTAAACAGTACCAAAGGTTAGGTCAGAAAGACATGTAACAGTACCACAAAGATACTGTCAGAAAGACGTAAACAGTACCACAAGGATACTGTCAGAAAGACATGTAACAGTACCACAAAGATACTGTCAGAAAGACATATAAACAGGACCACAAGGATACTGTCAGAAAGACATGTAAACAGTACCACAAGGATACTGTCAGAAAGACATGTAAACAGTACCAAAGGTTAGGTCAGAAAGACATGTAAACAGTACCACAAGGATACTGTCAGAAAGACATGTAAATAGTACAACAAGGATACTGTCAGAAAGACATGTAAACAGTACCACAAGGTTACTGTCAGAAAGACATGTAAACAGGACTACAAGGATACTGTCAGAAAGACATGTAAACAGTACCACAAGGATACTGTCAGAAAGACATGTAAACAGTACCACAAGGATACTGTCAGAAAGACATGTAAACAGTACCACAAGGATACTGTCAGAAAGACATGTAAACAGTACCACAAGGATACTGTCAGAAAGACATGTAAACAGTACCACAAGGTAACTGTCAGAAAGACATGTAAACAGTACCACAAGGATACTGTCAGAAAGACATGTAAACAGTACCACAAGGATACTGTCAGAAAGACATGTAAACAGTACCACAAGGATACTGTCAGAAAGACATGTAAACAGGACTACAAGGATACTGTCAGAAAAACATGTAAACAGTACCACAAGGTAAGGTCAGAAAAACATGTAAACAGTACATCAAGGTTAGGTCAGAAAGACATGTAAACAGTACCACAAGGATACTGTCAGAAGGACATGTAAACCGGACCACAAGGATACTGTCAGAAAGACGTGTAAACAGTATCACAAGGTTACTGTCAGAAAGACGTGTAAACAGTATTTCATGGTTACTGTCAGAAAGACGTCTAAACAGTACCACAAGGTTACTGTTAGAAAGACATGTTAACAGTACCACAAGGATACTGTCAGAAAGACATTTAACAGTACCACAAGGATACTGTCAGAAAGACATTTAACAGTACCACAAGGTTACTGTTAGAAAGACATGTTAACAGTACCACAAGGATACTGTCAGAAAGACATTTAACAGTACCACAAGGTTACTGTCAGAAAAACATTTAACAGTACCACAAGGATACTGTCAGACAGACATGTAAACAGTACAACAAGGTTACTGTCAGAAAGACATGTAAACAGTACCACAAGGTTACTGTCAGAAAGACATGTTGACTGTCTGGCTGGTAACGATGCTGTACAATAAAATTTGGTGACTGAATCTTTGTTCCACTATTAATGATTAGTGCACAAGTGAAATCTGCTTGTAAGCGAGTTTGTTTTCCAGCAGAAATTCCATCTAAAATTATAAACTATAAGCAATGTTGTGAAGAAAAGCAGATTAGAAATATCAACTGCAGAAACACTACAATGGAGATAATTTTGTAGGTAAGTAGTGGTGGATATTGGACAGAAATCCAAATCCTGTCACCACCATTGAGGGGATAGGGGTCTCTTATGCCCTTATGAAACATGCTAGAGAACAAAGTCATACATTATCTTCGAATTAATGAATGGATCCTTCAGAACAAAAATTCACTTATGGGATATGGTAATCAAGGGAGTTCTTTTTCAAAAGATGAGGCCCCAAAAGAAATGTTTCTTTCCTTAAAGGAAAAGGCACTATTATAGAAGCTTATTTTATGTATAAGATCCCCACTTCTAGGAGACAGGAATTAAATCATTTGATTTTGAACTTTTAGAACTTTGAATTATGACTAAGACTAAAGCTAACCATGGCTAAGTCACCTACTGGGTACAAACTATTCACCAATTACACCATTTAGAGGGCAAACTGGAATTCTCAAAACAAGGTTCAAAAGTATTACAGCAAAATTATTCTGTAATAAATACACAATGGAAATAAATCATGCATGTTATCCAACTATACGCATAATTAGACACTTACTCGTTGTTCGCGTTGTTGCTGGTCACGGTACTGATGATTGTTGGGGGCATGGCCAGGAGACGAGGCGATGTTTGAGGAGGAGGGATGCTGGGCATAGTAGTTAGGTTTGGAGGGGGACACTAATGGAGGCGTGATATCTGAGCTACTACGCAGGTGCACTACGCCCGTCTGAAATGGCAAGCAGATAAACAACACTCGCTAATTGTCAACTCTACAATCTGCATTCTATACAAGCAGCACACAGCTTCAAGTCACAGGGCATGCTTCACTCAGTTGGGGCGGAGAAAGTTGGATGTACAATATTCTTCGAGGTAAATGAAGATGTTGAATACAAAGTGAATATACTTTTTGTGAATTCTCTGAAAATTTTAGAAAAATTCTGTCTCAATGTTCTAATGTGTAATCAATGTTATTTTTTCAACCTGTACATTTCTATCAAATAATTACTCAGGTTTATTTTTAAAATTTTTAAAGATTCAGTTTTGGTTTCCAAACTACAAAAGCATTGTTTCTGTTGTCATTCAATACTTAAGCTCAAAATTTCTACATTATTGGTACATGAAAATCTGTTAATATTTCTTTTCTAAGTGATGCAACATAAACTTGTGATAAAAAGATTTATCAACAAGATGTACATAGAAATAAAACCAGAGACAGGTGCAACAGAGCGAAAACAAATAGTTCAAAACAGAGCACACCATTTCCCCTCCCCCGCTGTCTGGCAGAATTTGCACTGAGACCATAGAAGCAAAGCTACAGGAAAAAGACTCGAGAAACAATTTCTTATTATATATATTTTCAAAATGTGCTTCAAGTGATCTGAATTTCTACGATTTTATTCTCAAATACTGTACTTAAACTTACATATATATCTTAACATTTCAGGACTTTCTTTCAATGTATATATACTGTCTATTACAACAGACAATTTTGATCCAACAAGCATCCATCATGTCTGGTAAAATACCCTCACTTATCTTATACTGTACAGTAGAATTACTGAAAAATACTACCTAGTATTCTGTTGTCCTGAAATAAGCCCACTGTCTGAGTTTGAATCAAAGATAACACAGACTGGGCTTATAGTGCAGAATGAATATGGTAAGAACAGTTAGTTTTATATCTTCTACAGAGTTTAATGTACATGATGCAGTTTACACATAGACTGTATTCAAGAACAGGTTTTCTCCAGACAACAAATTCAATATCTTGAACTTTTCTGACTCAAACAAGTTTGATCTTCCTTTAACAATTGGATGCAATTGTGAAGAAATTGGATATTTTTGAAAAATTTCTTTCAGATCATATTCTAATTTTTTTCATTGAAGATGTGAACAATGCTGTGGAAAAAAGAATGCAAATCTAGGCATATAGCAATAAATGTGATTATCTGTTTGACACCAATGTCAGAATGATATACTGTATGAATATATATATACTGCATATATGGGGAAACATTCACCCAGGGTTCTTTTCATCTTCGCTTTTTACTGTTAATTCGTCCCCAGCCTTAAATTCATCCTAACATATCAGTAGCTTTTTACTTTAATATCAACATCAAACTTCAAACAACCACTATCTTTTTGAAAAGAAGATGAAACAGTTGAAAGTCTTCTCATGTATATATTATTCAATTTATTGGCCAGTAAACCAATTTATAGCAAGGAGCTGACTGACCTATATCTTTTGTTCTTAAGGAAAAATTACGTGCTTCATATACCCTTTCAATACAAACTGCAGAAAAACTACAGGACACATTAACTTGTTTTAGATATATATCAAACATAAATATATATACAGTATATATATATCAAAATGTGCAATAGTTAAGTTTCAGCATGCATGAATGTTCAATTAACAGGACAGCTATCAAAAGGAAGATATTTTTATACATCATATGACTTTTCAGTGAGTCAGTAGTGATGCATAACATAACTGTTAAAATTACAATGAATATTGACCACAAACTTGAAACACTTTTAAGGTATTCTCATAATATTCTTCCATCAAAGTTGGTTTTGAAATAAAGTTGCACGAATGAGGTCACTATAATGAGGGAATTTTTGTCTTTGCCTGAACATTCATTAAACTACAACGTGCATTAAGGTGCTTTACACATTGATAGTGCTAAAAATCATTAATAATACTGTAAAAACTCATATCAATCAGTTTCTGGTATTGTACCACTGCATCTAGTCTGTCCCTATTTACACAGGTTTTTCCTGGTTTTAAACAAAACTGCCAAACCATTTTCACGATTTCTGTTCCTTCCCTTTTCAAACAGCTTCCAAGCTTTTAAAGAAATTACCTTTAATTTGTTTTGGTTTTCCACTAATTGTGCAAATATTTTAAATTGATTGAAAAAATCATTTAAACGATTTGTGTAGGTTCTCTAAAATTCCAATTCTAGAAACGAAAACACAAGAAAAGCATTCAGTGGAAAACATTTTTGTGATTGAAACAAGCAAAGAATTTTTTTTTCAGACTGAAAAAACAAAAAGACAAAATTGTGTGAAGACTGAAGTTAAAATGACAGAAAATCTCATAGTTAAATGTACTGTAGTTAAGGTTAAAAGGTTGCTAAAAAAAAAAAAAAAAGAAATGAAATTGCTCATTAATCAGTGGTGTAAGGTAGCCTCATTTTCCAAAGAGAACAAGTATGTGACATCAAGAATCAGGACAATCCTCATTAAGTGCTCGTCTAATACACTCGAAGACTAACATGTCAAATAAACAGTGTTAAATAATCATTTTTAAAGAACACAAGATTTAAGCGGTATGTTTAAAAGGACCAGATGTTATACAAATATGTCAATACATCTTATCCTTTGCAATAATCACAGAGAATATCAAATACTAGGTCATCCTAAGACACCCGAAGAAACTTGATTTTACTACCGACGTCAAACGTACCTACTTTTAATGAATTGTCAGTGATCTAAAATGTTAATGTTACAGTGATTTAGAAAATTATCTAAGATTAGAATTCTATCAGCAACTTCGGAATAAGCCATTAAGTTATCTACATGTGACATGCATGCAGGGTGAACCAGCCCAACACATGCACAAAGCGTGGGGTCCTCTGATCCGTGTCATCAAAAATGTTTCTGATTTGTAATATAATGGGTGACATGTTGCCTATAAGTTTAAAGTCACATAACACCGTCCTAAACAGGTCATATGACACAGTTGTAACTAGATATCACATGACATGGTCCTAAACAGGTATTACATGACATGGTCCTAAACAGATATTACATGACATGACCCTGAACAATTTAAAAACTTTTCATTCTTTCTTCAAAGAAATGATCTTCATTTTCATGGGCACTCCCTTGTAAAGACTAAAACAGGAATAACACGATAGATATTATCCTTAATGCAACAGTATATCTTACTTATGAAATAAAACACCCAATTCCATCTCAGAAGAGAATAAGGCGTCGAATGAAAAATCTAGAGTTTGAAAAGATTCCTTCTAAATGGTACATGAATGTTTCAATCTCCATAGTCAAGACGATAATCTCATCTAAAGCTTATTTACATGTAAACAATTGATCTTAAATAATGATGCGAATGAAATAAGATTAAAATTCATCCTTACATTTTGCATATTACATAATGGCCCCCAATCCTCTCCTGTTGTTTTTATTTTCATTAAAGAATTCTTGTTATCAACAGACAGGAAACAAAATGAAGCAACATGTCTACCCATTATACTGTTACTTCTGTTTTAGACTGATTCAAAAGAACTTAGAGTAGACTTAACTCTATTGCAAAAGCATCTGCCTTTCTCTCTTTTATGTTTCTGATTTTTTCTTCAATACATTAAAACCTATTGAAAGGATGCAACACTTGTCCTGAGAGGCAGATCTACAATCACAGGCAATTTTTTCTTTTTTTTTTTTTTGATAAGAACTGTCAAACATAGCATTAATAAATTCTACACTAGAGATTTTGAATCAGTCTTGTGCAGTTTGTTGGGAATTGAAGCTTAAGTCAGTACAAGAAGAACTGGCAACAGACTTACAGGTTCTCGCCGGTCAGTGTTAAGGGCCGGGGCTGACTCCGCCCGGCTATGTATGATGGGTCCCTTATGTACTGGCTAAACAACACAGAGTAAGTCCAGGTATAAAACACCTGTTAGTCTACATATAAGGTCTGTGTTAGGCTACACTATCAGTCGTCACAACTCTAACCACCTATCACAGGGTGTTAATCATTCAAGTATTAAATGCAATACATTCATTCACTTTCTACAGTCAACTCTTGTCCTAAATCCTGACAACTCCTTGCAGTGAATTTGACTAGGAAACAGAACTAGAAAACCTATCCTTTTCAACACATACTAAATCATCTTTAGAGGAGAACCTACCAAAACGAATGAACAGAATAGATCTATTTCTACTTCATGCAGCAAGCAATATATTTATTTTTTATCCCAAACATTTGAGTAATCAGGAGAGATAATATTCCCTCTCAATTAACTAGGTAAATTGCTGCAAATAAATTGTGTAGAACTATTCTTTTGTGTCTAATAAGGTGTGATCAGTTTGTAAAGGAAAGAATTCAATACAGATCATGCATGTGCAAGCTTTCACTAATAAATGTGTTAAAACTGAAAAGTGTCCTTTAAAAAAAGACTTGTGAGTTTTGTGTTGTACAAATTGTGATATATTTATTTCATCCATGTATGTTAATTGTGACTTCATATGTTATCCAGCAGTGAAAAAAAAGTGTATTTCATTTTGTGTTGATAAAAGTGAGTTATCTCCCCTACATCAACATAAGGTACATGTACTGATAAGTGACAGCATGAAAATACAAGACAGAAAATAACAACTTGCACACATTGCCATCAAATCTTATATTTCAATCTTTCAACTAAATGGGAGGACAAACTAAACATCACATGTTTGACCTGTGTAAAGGAAGACATAACCAATAAATAGTGAAGTACATATCAAACTCACACACAGGCTATGTAAAATAAACATCGTCCTGGAGTTATATAATATTATATAGATATTTTCTTTATAAAAGTTCCTTAGTTAATACAATGTTATAAAAGAAGGCAACACAAAGAAAGACTCCATTTCCACTTTAAAAATTGTTTGCTTTTTGGGAAATTTATACATGTACAAGCCTTTACAGGGTGAAAGCAGATCAACCAAACTTACAGATGCGTGCATATGAGAAGAGTTTTGGCGATCTCGAGTGAAATCTGGATCACTCCCCATATTTTTCCCTCGTAGATTTCCTGCGTGCATAACATTCTGAAAGAACAACACGATACATATTCATGCAGAGAGAGGTAGACTGATGTGCACAGCAAAACCAAACAATGGAGCAGAGCAACACGCACAAGCTAGTCATAGCAAAAAATTTAAATCCTAGCAATCCTTCACAGTAGAACATAGCAACACATTGGAGGATCCAAGCGATCCTTCAGTAGAACAAAGCAACACATTGGAGGATCCAAGCGATCCTTCAGTAGAACATAGCAACACATTGGAGGATCTAAGTGATCCTTCAGTAGAACATAGCAACACATTAGAGGATCTAAGTGATCCTTCAGTAGAACATAGCAACACATTGGAGGATCTAAGTGATCCTTCAGTAGAACATAGCAACACATTGGAGGATCCAAGCGACCCTTCAGTAGAACATAGCAACACATTGGAGGATTCTTGTGATCCTTCAGTAGAACATAGCAACACATTGGAGGATTCTTGTGATCCTTCAGTAGAACATAGCAACACATTGGAGGATCCAAGCGATCCTTCAGTAGAACATAGCAACACATTGGAGGATCTTACTGATCCTTCAGTAGAACATAGCAACACATTGGAGGATCCGAGCGATCCTTCAGTAGAACATAGCAACACATTGGAAGATCCTAGTGATCCTTCAGTAGAACATACCAACACAGTGGAGGATCATAGCAATCCTTCAGTAGAACATAACAACACATTGGAGGATCCTAGTGATCCCTCAGTAGAACACAGCAACACATTGGAGGATCCTAGTGATCCTTCAGTAGAACAAAGCAACACATTGGAGGATCCTAGTGATCCTTCAGTAGAACATAGCAACACATTGGAGGATCCTAGTGATCCTTCAGTAGAACAAAGCAGCGTAATAAAGGATCTTCACAATCAATCAATGAAACGTAGTAGCAAACTTAAAGCCATCGTGACCCTTTACTTGAACGAAACAACTTACAAGATAAGTCTTAGTCAGAAATAGCCAAGATCATGCATCCTCTATACTCAGAATAGGTCACTGAATTATGACAAATCACCCTCAACTCTACAATGTTAGACTTAAAATTGAATTTATATTCAGTATAAAGAATATAACAGTAAATTAATGTTCTCTTTTTATGAAACCTGGATGATCTGATCATGAATTTTTCCTATTTGCATTTTTTATCTCTCTCCTGTCATGATTTTGTGCAAATGTGAAATGATCTCCTTACAGGGTTCATGCCAGCGGTCCCCAAAGTTGCATTTAGCATTAAAAAATATAAACTGGCCATACAATATTGAGATTGACATTTTTTTTGGTGACATCAAGGATTATTGTGTAAAATTTTCCATTTTTTTTTCTTTTTAATTGAAGTTTGTTCTTACTAGCCCTTCTATCAAAACCAATAATAATGTAAACATTACTTCAAGTGACCTATAAGGGAAATTTTAGAACAGTTACAAGTTAAAGCAGAATACATTTGCAGTCATCTCAATGCAAGAAAGACAACTCTAGTTATATCATGCGTGAGATATTAAGGACAAATTGAATTGCCTCCACCCATTATATCTGGAAAACTATACACAAGTTTCTTAAACTAAGAAGATATATGTAGAGTAAACATCCATAAATCTAAAATGCCAGAACACATAGGACACTTTTTTTTCTTCAGATAAATGACAAATGACCTGATGACCTGAAAAAGTCAACGTGGAAATTCACTTAACATGCTACATTTCCAAGGATTTCCAAGGTCACAATACCTGATTTTATTATATTACTAAAACATGCAGATTATTTCATAGCAAGTGTACATTAAAAATATGTATAACTGAATAAATACATGCACAGAGTGTATTAATAAACACAAGAGATTCAAAAGAAAACAGAATTTATACAATAATATAAATTAATACATAGATTTTACAAAAATTAGTATAATACAACACTTAATACAACTAAATACAACGACAAGTGCAGAAAAAAAAGACACATTTCCTTCTCATCATCTCTCACATCACAATCACAACTTCTAACAATGTTTTTATCAAAGTCATCTATCTAAACGCAGAAAAAAAGACACATTTCCTTCTCATCATCTCTCACATCACAATCACAACTTCTAACAATGTTTTTATCAAAGTCATCTATCTAAACATCTTTCATACAAATTCTTTAAATTCCTGTAATACAGGTAAGTAGTGGAATATACACAAACATGTGAAAAGCAACACTTTCTAATCATGATTAAAGGATAAGCTGACTAAACAACCAGTAGGAGTTTATAAAAGTTAGTGTGTCTTTGAAGCCATGATAATTTCACAAGATTAAACAAATTAAACAGATTTAGTGATTTCGGTATTCACACAATTCTGTAATCATTTAACACTGGGTTATTGTCTGTGTACAAATGTCACTTCACAGCAAAATCACTTACATATTCTTCAGTCCCCCTGCTGGCTGCGATTTTAGTTCCATTGTTTAAAATTACCTGTTGGTGATTTGTATGTGTAAGTTACAACTAATATAACTCTTAAGTAAACATGAAATTTCATGGGCATCAATTTACAAGTCCTCTCTACAAGAAGAAATTTAACTTTTTACAACCTTATTTCTGATCTGTGATTAATTGTGAAAAAAAGCTACCATTTCATATCAAACTAGATCTAGACTATCAGCAGAGCGTAATATTTTAAAATAAAGTTTCTAACTGTGAATACTCAAGCAAAAAAGATAAAAGCGATAAAAAAAATTAAATTGAAAAATTCTTTTCGTTCTGAAACGGCTGGTAACTTACATCATCGTATGAGGTATTGATTGTAGTCCTATTATCAGGTGGTGCAGGGGCGGGGCGTTTCTCATAGTTAGAATGCCGATTCTACACAACAGCAATAATAATCCATAAAAACATGTTACCACTGACAAAATTCTATTTAATTCTATTTCTTATCTAGACTTCAATGCTGGTTTCATTCATTTTCTTTATAAAATAACTTTTTTTAAATACTTTCGACCAAGACCTTGTGACTTGTAATCTGCGATCCTGAATGAATTTCTTATCAAATAGATCAAATTAGCAGAGTCACACCTAGATGTACCCTCAATCACAAATTCCTGTTATTTCTAATTTAACTATATCTGTTGAGGAGCTCATAAGATATTCTGTACACAAATCTTCCGATGATCATCAAAATCAAAGCAGGTATAGAACGTTGTATGATGATAGGGTGTAAACAATATGAACTAAATTTGCCCAGCAGTTCATGAATTTTCTTCTCCACAAACTTTTAATTTCAAAGAGTCAAGAATGACCTTTAATCTTAAAAGATGACCATCGGAATTTGAATCAGGTTTAGAACTCAATGACATGATGCTATGTTGTAAATATGAACTAAATCTCTCATGCAGTTCATAAGAGATATTATATTCACAACCATTGAATGTTTACACAAACTGTATTTTCTACCACCCAACTACCAAACCCTCCACCACTTCTAAGTGGGGTGTATAACTGTAACCTAGATAATACCCTGCCTGAACCATGGACCATCAAATTAAAGTGAAATCAAGGGGAGAGAAATCTCACTAACATGGTGGCACTTCCCTAATTGATCACAAAATTCTATCTCCGTATATATGATTGATTAACACTTATTTTTAATCAATCAAAATTGCATCACATCAATATCTAAATAATAAAGACCATATAAGGATGAACAGGTATCAAAATTAAGAAATCATTATATATTTTTCATTGTATTTGACATGAAAATGTATGGGGGGGGGGGGGGGGGGGGGAAAAAAACAAAAAATATAAACCAGTTTACCACAACTAAAATGATTTGTGACTCATTTTTCAATAAATCATTCAGTAACTATCTTGCAATACTTCAAGCTGATATTGCAAGTTTAAAAGCTGCCAGTAAATTGCAATTTTAAAAAAGTTACAGAAGTGACAGTTTTCAGAATGTTTCCATGATGTCTCTCAAGACAACACTTTTTTCAAGTTGTCATATCAAAATGTTGACATTTTTCTGGCTTGCTTAGAAACCTGTAAAATGTTGTTCTCCTTGAAGTAAATGTTTAAAAATTTGTTGTTGTATTTTTCTATTTTTGTATAATAAATAGACTAAAAAAAGTGTGTCAAACTCTCATTCACCTCATAACCGTTTAGATGATACATACAGATAATACAACATCCAAATATCAACAAATTTAAGTTACACCCTCATCCATCTCATTACCATTCAACTGATATTAGAGATAATGTAACTTCTAAATAGAAACAGAGAAGCACCACAGCACAATGATACAGAGGTAAGTTTTGCTGAATGGTTCACCATTAATCAAACTGTTGGCAGAGAACAAAGTAAATTTATCTTCTTAAAAAAACTGTAATTTAATTTAAGTTGGAAATCAAAATTAAAAAAAGGAATTAACAAAAGAAATTATCTCTCTGATTGTAAATATCTACAATTTTTTTTAATACATGATAATCTAGTTGTAAATTTTCAAAAAAAAAAAAAGGTCTGAAAATCAAAAACCAAACTGCTCTACACTATCCGCTTAAAAATTTGTTTGGTGGAAAAAAAGGAATTAACAAAGAATGATTGTAATATCTACATTTTTTCTAAAGTGTTTCTCAAAATAAAGACAGGGATAAAGATACATATGTATACAGGAACACATCTAGGGAAAGAGAAAACTAAGATTACAGAGAGTATATAATATATACCACATATGTTACTGGCTGCTGGAAAATCACACAAGACCAAACCAGAAAACTGTGTTTCAGTAGACATCCTGATCAAGTTATTCACTGTTTCATCGTCATTCTATCAGTAATCTGAATCTAAAATTAAGGCTAAGATGTCAGGTGATGGTCAGACAATTATTCATACCCAATTTTATTCCTTCTTTAGTTAAAAACTTTGTTTTATTATCCAAAACAATTAATTCCCGAACAAATAAACAAACTTTAAGTATACTGTAAAGCATTATATTTTGTATGTCATTTTCATTGTCCGTTATATAACCACCCCTCTTCCCCCACCTTCCTTCTTTCCTAAGCTTACTGCAGAATCAAAACAATGAAGACCTACAGAGCAGTGAACCAGTATACAAGATAATCTGAAACACATCATTTTATGAATTTGGTCTCACTTGGTTAGAATGATAACACACAACACAAAGGTACAGGACTACAGCTACATTACAATACTTATCTACAGACTATATAGCCATGGTACAACATTACCACCACTAAACTTACGGAGTCGTCCTGCCCCACACTGGGCGGGGCTGGAGGGGCGGGTCGCTTCCCGGACTCCCTCGACGATACTGCTGACGACACTGGAGGGGGTTGTATCATGTTCTAAGTAAGACAACATGCATTTAGCCATTAAACCACATGCAGAGAGCCAGTCAGTTGGTGTTGTGGAATACAAGGTTTAAGTTTAATATTTTTAGGCATTCAAGTTTTCGAACTCTTAAACACAGCTGTTACAAACGTTTAAACATTCAAACCAATTCATGCATAAAATGTCAGCTAAGATAATGTTACTAACATAGGTTTTTATCTCGAGAACTTGAAATATTAGAACTGATTCCAGAGATTTCCAACCTATCCCTCTATAAAACTATTTGTAACACGCACCATGTTAAATGTCTCAACATTAATAAACTTCTATATAACAGCAGCAACAGTGAGGTATATTAGATTTTAAACTTGTGCTTCATGTCAATGTACAAAAGAACCTGAGGTGTTTAAAAAAGGAACAATTTGTGAAGAGATCAGTGCTCCATGTGCAACACAGGTATATAACCTTAACAGAATAACTTAACATTAATACAGGTAGCATATAACCATAACAGATTAACTACATATTAACATCAATTAACTAACTATAATACATACACCAGAGCTTGCCAGTATTTGTTATAAAACAGAGGTAAAATCTAGCCATATATATTGCTGAAACACACATATAAGACCTAGCCCCACCTTTTTATAAAATATATAGGTAAATAAAAGTCCTAGGCCAAAGACAGAAATATTCAAACAAAAATAAGTCTGTGACCTACATTTCACACAGTTATAGTTGTATACAAGCCGAATTCAGGTATGAAGTTTGACTGCAGTTCAACTTCTAGTATTAGCGTTGTAATGTTAAATTTCAATGTAACACCAAAACTTGACATAAATCAATGTCTTAATTCTCCTGCTCCATGATGAAATAAAATCAAGTGAAAGATACAAATGCTTCATAACTTCTACTAAAAATTCACTTTTTACATAAGAGATATCATGGCCTCATAACTTCTATAAACAATTCATCCAACACATTAGGAGATCCCAATGCTTCAAAACTTTTGTGAGAAATTCATCCTTCATGTAAAAGAAATACTTTGGCAACTTTTACAGAATTTAAAACTCAATATCATTGCTTCATAACTTCTAAGAGAAATAATCTTTAATGTAAAAAAGATACCTCATCAACCTTTACAGTGTACAACACTCAATAAAAATATACATATAAGTAAAATGGTTATCACCAGCCCCAATAGAGACGCCCAAATAAATCATAGTCTTATACCGTAATTGATTTATATAATTATATATTACCACACAGATTTGAAATCTGACTTATTCCACATATACATGTAGATATAGAAACTAATATTATACATATTGTATATCAGGTGGATTTTGTGAACTGTTATTTTTTCAGCTAAAGAATATAAACAGAATTTGTGCTGTGTTTGGTGACAAAACTCCATTTATACCAAACACATTATAAAGACAGTTTTGGTGTCATATCTAAAGGTTTGATTTCTTTTAATCTCATTCAATTTATAAATGCCTATAATTCTATGAAAACTCTGATTCAGCTAAAGGACAATGAAATCAAAATGGACATGAATATCTTCATGTTCCTCCCAAATCATAGAGTGTAATTTTCATAGCATTTTCTAAAATAAACACTCTTTCATCACTGATAACACATTACATATCATAAAAAATATTGACCAATATCAATCTTTGTTAATTAATGCTTAATTATACTGTATGTGTTAGTAAAACACAACTCCCATTTCCTGTTACAAAATTACACAAAATTTTCAGCAAATTTAAAAGTTTTAAAAATCTACATGATGAAACAAAAGCTAAGTCAATGCATATTAAATAAATTGCCAAAAAAAGCATTAAAATCACCCATTTTAATAGTATTTTGTGTTAACAGCAGAATAATTAGTTATAAAATTCAAAGATTTGAAATCGTAGAGTTAATAATTTTAAAATAGAACTTTTAAGATTTGGAAAAAGTATAAAATTCCAAATATACAGAAGCATTTTTTTCTGTCTATTGAGCCCAAAAAAATCATTTAAACATGGATGTAAGGCAGCAGTTTTCAGACTGACAACCTTTGTATGAATTTATTATCAACTGTGTTCATTATTCTGTACAAAATTATTTGAGATTTGTATTTTTGTCTCTGTACTTTTGAGCTTCAACAAACCCAAAGCATCACTTGAGTATTTTTACTCATCTTATCCTAACTCTTTTACAAAGGATAAAGCAATGTTGCCGAACCTTAAATCACATCCTAGTGTGACCATCAGGTCAGATTTCCAGTTGTATCAACCTTTTTTGTCCTATTACACTTAGTACACGCATTTTCAAACAACTTTTATCTACTTTTTATCTTTTATCTATCAACTTTGTTTATGCTATGCCCCCATCAGCCTATACATATGTAAAATGGTAGAAGAGGCAAGTTAATGGTGAGGGAGGAGGGGAGGGGAATAAAAAAAACTTTGTAAGATGATTTTTAAATACATGTATATATGTAAAAGTATAATTTACATTAGCAAAATAAATCTAAACACATATAGATATGCAAATGTGCATTACTATAGATTTGTGCAATCTGATTTAAAACAAAAAGTATCTCGATATGTATAAAAGACACTACGACAGTACAAGCATCCCACTCAAAAGCATGTCATGTTTGGTAGATCACGCAAGCTGCGAGACAAACCAGCAATCAGCACAAGACAGAGGCAGAGGGATCAGCGAATCACAGCACGCCCAGACTTACATCATCGTCGATGGGATAGTCTGCCACCGCCTCCTCCGCCGGGATGTCTAAGGGCGGAGTGGTGCTCCGCATCATATCTTGGCCCCCCTTAGCGAGAACCGATCCAGAGCTAGGGTACATTTTACCCTGGACAAAACAACATGCACAAAAATCTACAACTCTGCTCACAGCTTAAGCCCTTTATGCTAACATGCATAATGTTATATTTATTCTTCTTTGATAACCCTTTTTATTTTTAGCTTTTCAATACTTTTCACACTAAATCAGAAAATAAACTAGGTTTTAAGGTCAATCCTAAGACTAATTAAAATCAAATCAAACTCTAACAAAGAACTTGAGAGCTTAACTTCATTTATACCTTGTTTTGTTTTCAAATTGCTTACTAACACTAAAACTTTTATTCTCCGAGACAATGATGATGAATACAGAGTGTATGAATGTCTTCTCTGAAATAAAGATCAGGACCATACAACTGAACGTCACATACCAAGCATTGATAACATACTCTCTATGTATGCATTCCAGCATCATATACTAAGCATGCTAAGATTAGTAACTTGGCATTATAAACATATGATTCTATATCATTTTTAATTTCTTATAACGAGACAAAAAGGAACACCTAATTTAAGTGAGAAATAATCTAAACTTTTTTTTCTTTATTTTTTTTTCTTAATCCCTTTAGACATGTATTCCACTTTGAAAAAATTTCTGTCCATATCACTGTTTAGCTGATCACTTTTAACAACACAAACTGCCATTGTTATGTCCCATCAACCCACAGCATCCAGCCTATGTATAATGACCATGCCGTAAACACAATCCTGACACTCATGCTGACCTGGTCAAGATGACCACTGCCTTACCTGTCCCTTGTCTTGACCATTAACATTCGCCATCAGCTGTTGCTTGACCACATCAGCTTCTTTCATTGTCATGATCCAATCAACCTGCATATCATTCTCATCAATCTCTCTGAGGAAAAGAAAAAATTCCAATTATGTTTGGAATTTAAAGGAAGACTATCCTCATTTTTACTCTTTGGTGCCAGACTGTCCTAAAAGTCATACAATATTTTTCCATTCTTCTTTAGAGTAGTTTACATGTGTTAAGAATATCTCTTTTAACCTCTCTAGCGTAAATATCATAATTTCAAAATATTTCCTGGAATAACGTACAAGCATACAAACTACAATTCTGTTGGGAGAATTGCAGGTTACACATATGGCAGGGAAAGTACAGCACTTGATTTTACATCTCACATTGAACATGTCTATAGATATATGGTTTGGTATCAAAATATTTATATTATACTTTCGAGTGTTCTAAACAAGAGTCTTGCATGAATCTGTTCTGCTGGAAGCAGGTTGTTTAAGCATATCAATGTTAATCATATTAGTTAATCATATTAAGATATTCATAATTACAATACCATTACTCCAATCTTGTATATAATCAAAAAACAAACCCTTCACTATCACTGTCATCACTGTCTACGTTATTTCCTTTCTCCATCTTCCATCGTTTATAACGGTCAATAAGATCTGTGAGATATGTTGTTTTTCTCGCTCGTCGAATAAAAGGGTGTCGTAATAATTCTCTCGCTTGTGGTCTCTGTGAATAATTCAAGATGCTGATAACATCTACACATACATTCTTTGGGTTTTAAAGACCGGCTACTTATCTTAGGAAAGTTATAAACATCATGTCGTATTAGTCTTATTACTTCATAGTATGGATTGAATGATTCAATATTTTAGCATTCTACAAATTAAGGAATTGATTGATTTTTAATGTTTTTGTGAAAATAGTCTCAATTAAATTCAATGACAGTTACCTAAATACTTGCAGAATACTCACAAGTGTTTTACAAAATTTATGTTTTTAAAAACACCTCAAGAAATGTTTTAATATATAATCATCCTAACTGAAACATCTCAAACTGCTTTTGTAAAAATAAACATAAAACAATACATCATTAAATAAATTATAAAACAACATGGATGAAATGATCAGTTGTTTTCATTGTAAAATTTAGCAAAAAAAAATCAAATTGTCAAAATTGATAATTAAAGATCATCAAGTTTTTTTCCCTCATCAAAGACTTCTATTCATAAAAATGTTATTTTTCTTTTATATTTGTACTTTGATGAAATTCATTACACAATATATACTTTTACTTAAATTCATATGTAATGAGTATCATGAACAATAGATGTTTTTTCAACAAAAATTTTTGGAAAAGAGAGATGTTTCATTTGAAAATGGAGCATGATTTCTGCTATTATCAAGTTTGAGGAAAATTTCATTAAACAATTTAGATTGACACCTTGCATACTCACATTATTTGGGTCTTTATTCAGACACTGTTCTACAAATTCCTTGCAACTTTTACTGTAGTTTCCTGTCAGTTGAGGGGGGTTATTTTTAGGAATTAGGAATAAAACTCTCATGGGATGGAGCTCAGAGTTTGGGGGCTCGCCTTTAGCTAATTCAATGGCAGTAATGCCCAAGCTCCATATATCAGCCTAAAACAACAAACACAGGTAACCAAGTATTATGCAAGATGTGAAAGATAGGGTTCAATGACATATCGGTCCAACATTAAGCCTAGAGGGTCACCACAAACCTCCAAGTGGGAAACAGGCTTAATACAGGAAGGCAAAAAATGATTTTGTGATAACTCCATCGAAAAGCAAGATATGGATGGGCTAATTACTTACTGTAAAATCATCCATTTTTCCTGGGAAATTAATTTTCATTGTATTTGTGGTTACACTTTATCCATGAATTCATACGTCAACAGAATGATAAACAGATAAAACTCATTTTAGAGTTCAATATATCAGCGTATGTTCTGTATCCTTTGCGAGTTTGATATAGCTTACCTTAGTATCATATGCTGACTGTTTTATCACTTCAGGAGCCATCCAGAATGGTGTGCCTACAAATGTATTACGTTTGCCCATAGTATCAGTCAACTGTCCCGCTACACCAAAGTCTGCTAGTTTTACATCCCCATTTTCTGATAATAACACATTGGCAGCTGGAAAACACAAAGAAATTCATAAATTTCAAACATAATAATTTAAACATTTCAACAAATATCTCTTAAAGGAAAAATTGTGAAAATTTAGTAATGTAAATTGTTTCTTATCATGGGTTTTATTTCTCCAAATGAAACATCTACAAACACAAATTCAGAAAGGCATTCAATATTGATAGATACATATCCCTTATCAAACATTTTTCTAAAAATCAATCCTCATTTCCTTTATCAACCTATTATAATCTAAATGAATGAAAATCGCAAATATTAAATGCAACAGAAAAACTTGGGTACCCAAAAAATAGTACTCTTAAATTTCTGCCCCTTTGAGAAATTAAACGGTCACTGTCCACCTGATGGACAATATCAATACGCCAGTGGTCACTGTACACCTGATGACAATATCAGTACACCAGTGGTCACTGTCCACCTGATGACAATATCAGTACACCAGTGGTCACTGTACACCTGATGACAATATCAGTACACCAGTGGTCACTGTCCACCTGATGACAATATCAGTACACCAGTGGTCACTGTACACCTGATGGACAATATCAGTACACCAGTGGTCACTGTACACCTGATGACAATATCAGTACACCAGTGGTCACTGTACATCTGATGACAATATCAGTACACCAGTAGTCACTGTCCACCTGATGGACAATATCAGTACAACAGTGGTCATGTACACCTGATGACAATATCAGTACACCAGTGGTCACTGCAAACCTGACAATATCAGTACACCAGTGGTCACAGTACACCTGATAACAATATCAGTACACCAGTGGTCACTGTACAACTGATGACAATATCAGTACACCAGTGGTCACTGTACACCTGATGGACAATATCAGTCCACCAGTGGTCACTGTACACCTGATGACAATATCAGTACACCAGTGGTCACTGTACACCTGATGACAATATCAGTACACCAGTGGTCACTGTCCACCTGATGACAATATCAGTATACCAGTGGTCACTGTCCACCTGATGACAATATCAGTACACCAGTGGTCACTGTACACCTGATGGACAATATCAGTACACCAGTGGTCACTGTACACCTGATGGACAATATCAGTACACCAGTGGTCACTGTACACCTCATGGACAATATCAGTACACCAGTGGTCACTGTACACCTCATGGACAATATCAGTACACCAGTGGTCACTGTACACCTGATGACAATATCAGTACACCAGTGGTCACTGTAAACCTGATGGACAATATCAGTACACCAGTGGTCACTGTACACCTGATGGACAATATCAGTACACCAGTGGTCACTGTACACCTGAAGGACAACATCAGTACAGACAATAAGTGGTCACTGTACACCTGATGACAATATCAGTACACCAGTGGTCACTGTACACCTGATGACAATATCAGTACACCAGTGGTCACTGTACACCTGTAGGACAACATCAGTACACCAGTGGTCACTGTACACCTCATGGACAATATCAGTACACCAGTGGTCACTGTACACCTGATGGACAATATCAGTACACCAGTGGTCACTGTACACCTGATGACAATATCAGTACACCAGTGGTCACTGTACACCTGTAGGACAACATCAGTACACCAGTGGTCACTGTACACCTCATGGACAATATCAGTACACCAGTGGTCACTACACCTGACAATATCAGTACACCAGTGGCCAATGTACACCTGATGGACAATATCAGTACACCAGTGGTCACTGTACACCTGATGGACAATATCAGTACACCAGTGGTCAATGTACACCTGAAGGACAACATCAGTACAGAAGTGGTCACTGTACACCTGATGGACACTCAAATTCTCACCTTTGATATCTCTGTGTAATTTCCTCTCTGAATGTAAATATTCTAGTCCTTTGAGGATTTCTCTTAATATAATAGCGATGTCGGACTCTGAGAATGGTCCAGCCTTCATCAAGTCCAGTGCTGATCCCCCACCCAAGTACTCCATAATGATCCATAACTTTGAACCCTGCAATGTAGATCATTTTTAAATGATTATAACATAGATGACTTTTCAAAGTCAGTAACAGCAAGAAAAACTTCTGTCTTTTCTGTGAGTACGAATTCGATTTACAAACCTCATTTTTATAGAAATTAGAAACAATCATATTAAAACACTACCTCTAGATAGGACCTGTAGTATTTCGTGACGTACAGACTAACATACCTCTAAATAGGACCTGTAATATTTTGTGGCTTACAGACTAACATACACTGAGATAGGACCTTCAGTATTTTGTGATGTACAGATTGACATACCTTGAGATAGGACCCGTAGTATTTTGTGACAAACGGACTATCACACTGTGATAAGACCATAATTTCCTGTTGGATATCTTCAATTTCATCCTCTGCTTCCTCTAAGTCTATAATTTTGATGGCAACAACTTGCTGTGATGAATTATCAATTCCTTTGAATACTTCCCCAAAAGAACCCTTTCCTATTTTGTCCAGCTTAGTAAAGCGCATTTCTGGGTCAATAGACATCCCTGAGCTTCTCTACAAACAGAAAGTAAAAAAGACTTCAAACAACATCATCAGTGTTTGTTGTTAGTGGGATCTATCAATTACAGTGAAATCTTTACTTAATTCTGCCACTGTGTGGCAGAATGCATTTAATGTACATAAATGTCATCAATGAATGAAGTAACATAATTAAGGTTACGTTACATTGTTTAGCTGCTGAAGACACATTCAATGTTCTCTGTGTTTCTGAAATCTGTAAAACTATAAACCTACTCAGTTTCTCCAAAACAAAATCAAATTATTTGAAACAAAATCTCAAGTATTTATTTTGATATATCAACTTACAAAATGATTAAGATACACAGGTATAAAGATATTTTATATTGATTTTTATAATTAATGATGAGGAACTCTGTCATAAGGAAGAATAAAAGATTTTGAGGAAGAAAAAATCTAAGGTGTCCTGAAATAACAATAATTGTTTCAAAACAACAAGTAAAAAGTCACAGTATTTATCAATGGACAATGATAGATACAGGATACCCTTTAACAATGATCAGTCAAGTAACATAACAAACACAGGAAATTATCAAGATATTTTGGGAAGTACACCCTGCACCTAAACAGGAAAGAACACAAACACAATCAACCAGAACTTGATTGTAAAAATGATTTTTTTTGTTGTATATTTTTGTCCAATCGTTAATGTTAATTGTGTTATTATTATAGTTCATATGATCTGTGAATTTCAATTTTTGATAAAAAGGAATTAAAAGCTTGCAAAGATATGTATCCGTTTTTTTTTATTCATGGATTTTTGCTTTGGTTTTGGTTTATTAGACAAATTCCCCGAGTAAGAGAGTGTGTAGAAGAAGGCAACAGACTGATAATATCAATCTATGTGTAAACCTAAGATTTGTTATGATTTGATTTGTCCACCAGTAACTGTATCCCCTTGAATACAGCTATGGTAGATTCATCATATATACAGTTACAGCATGTAAAACAATGTACAAAAAAATTACACTAACTTTAATACATACTTTCTTTACATTAATCCTGACCTTACCTCATTTCTTTTATAATCAGAATTTTCATGGCTCTATTTTAGGTGAAATTCAAACACTAGATTCAGCACTCGATTCAGATTTTAGAATTATCCTTTCAAAACTTGTCTTAAATTCATTCATTAAATAGCACACAGCCACAGGATTGCTTAATTTGAAATAATCAAATAAGTTCTTGAATGGGCTGATACACTTATTCCTCATTACCCAAACATGTTGTATCTAGTTTCCCATAAAAATTTGATTTTGAAATCACAGAATAGCTAGGTACATAGAGAATCCCTACTACATGTATATGTAGTTGGCAGCCCTGACAATGGATGTTTTAAATTAATATTTCAATCCTTTTAAACAAAGAAATTACTTGATTGAAAGAAAAGGAGAGGGAGATAGGAGTAACCATAATACATGTACAACATGAAAACATGTGTCAAATTTATCTTAAAATTGTATGTATTAGTTATTTTTCCTAAAATCACAACTAGCATCCACATAGTTTCCCCAACAAGTCATATTTTTAATTTTTGCCAAACTTTGTTAGTTCAGGGTTTTTTTTTTATCTCACACTACGACTATACTTCTGACAAGACCTATTTCTAATCCAATAAAGAGCCTTACAGAGATATGTAGTCACCTGGGGAGTTTTTACTTGTATGTGTCAAGCAAACTCTAAAATCAATAACCTATCAATTTCCTGAATATTTCTCACTAGTAACAGCTAGACTAAAATAAACTTTGTTCCATGGAATGCATATTACCTGTGAAAAGCTTGTAAGGTAAACATTAAGCTGGTTATATAGTATACCATCATCTTTTCTCTTATCATGAGAAAGGATTGTACTATAAACACTCAAAGTGAACTATGTATAAAAGCAATTTTCAATTCTAATTTTCCGAATATTGTACTTGTAAAATAAAAAGTACATGGGGCCTAAATTGAAAATAAAGGGATAACTGAAAATTTTTAATCAGTAAAAAACAATGTTAACTCTGAGATAAGGAGTTAGGAGCACTATGATTCAATAGATGATTTTCATAACTTTCGACATGTGCCGAGTTTTCAATTTAAGTAAGGTGGAATGTCAGTGTATTAGTTTGGCCTGGACCGCTAGAATACTTTCAATTAAACAGCGTCTTCGCATTAAATTGTGATTGAAATATTTTACATTAAATCACACGATTATTTTAACCATCAATTGAAATTAATTACTATGTTTCTAATCTACATTAACATATAAAGCACAATATTTACACTGATATAGCATATAAAAAAAATCATTTAAAAACTAATCACAATAATACTGACATCATAGAATTGTTACAGAAATACTGAAACTTTTAATAATTAACAGGGTACGAAGATCTGCTAAGGATCAAATTTACTCACAGACGTCGGAGATCAATCCAGCAACATTTTCACCGATCATTGTCACGATAAAGCTTAAAACAACATCCACATAGTTCCCGTGAAACGAAACTGCAGTGAAATGAACCAACATGACCTTATTGTTCACTATTGCAGATAATGACACAAGTGAACCTCACAAGCCTCGCCTCAACGAACAATGCTTACACCTTTTTGACAATGGAGAATCTACTTTACAGTCTACAATTCGTGACTGAGGAAGCCCATGGGTGTCAGGTCACCTGTGACCAGAACAAAATGAGATGTGTATTTATAAAAATACACACGCCCCACATGTAAACACCACCCATGCATGCTGTGTATACATTGTACTTGGCTTTGTTAGAGGGTAGACATTGATCATGACTTGCAAGCTTAAGACATACATCTACAAAAGGGACATGAAATTCTACAGTAAAACAACAGACTGTGGACCCCCCCCCCGCCCCCCCACCAAATAATGATCAGAGATGTTTGTTTTAACTGTGATCACAGTTTTTTTAATTTTAGGAGGATTTCCTAGTAGTTTATTATAGTACAAAGGGAAGGAAATATGAATCATCTACACTTGATAGACATTTAGCTGTAAGATGTAGTAACGTTTATGCCATTATTAATTTTTATAATGTAAGGAAAATTACCACGAAACATTTTGTAGTTTCCTGTCTACCATATTTATCCACCAATAAACCTATGGTTGATATGTTCACCAAATTTTATCATCGTTTTGTAAACATTTTTACAAATACCTATTTATGTTGTGTAAAATTCTATCTAATATCTGTTATTGTACAGTGATAAGCCCATCCCCATTAATACAATATTGGAAATGACTTACTGACCCAAACCTGACCTTTTCAATGAATCCATATTTATGTATGTTTATTGTTGTGGACATTATTTTTCAGAACCTTTGGTCTCATTTATATTAGTATTTTCTATTCAAATCTCAAGTTTTGCTATTTATTCCTTCCCTAAAACAATTGAATGCCTATCATTTGTTATCTATTCCTGAAGGATGCCTCAGATTAGTTGATGCCAAACACAGAATACTAAAAGGATGGCCCTATTTTGAGAAAGATCATGAGTTAGCTCCCCTGGCTACTGTATACTGGTTTATACATTATATTACAAATTTTGAACTATAATTTCTCAAGCCAAAAATTATCAAAGGATTCTACAATTATCAGCATGACATACCTCAAACAAATTTGTAGAACAAAGGAAGAAGTTGGTAATTTAGAAATAATCTAAATCAAATTGAAACAGTTAGATAATTAATCATATCTGGAAAATTAACAAACTTCACAGCAACAATAAGTACACCTGATGGCTGGCTAAGAGGACGGTGTATAAACAGTTGATATAAATAGCAATAAAGATGCTTCTGAAATTTAGCCTACCTAAATCATGTGTACAATATTTTATGTAGCTTGGTCACTCCTTTATCCGGCCTTTGGTTGAGGACTGTATAACGGAGATATCATCCCAGCTATGTACAATTCTACTATTGCATCATTCCTAATTAAGTATGCAATGTTGCTGTGAGTTCACTTAACTCCTAGTTTATGTGCTGTGCAGAACCAGAGAATTAATCAATGATGTAGTTTCTGTGTAGTGTAAATACTTATAAATCTAACCTATCCTAGTTTCTGAAATGTGTAATACTAGCAAAGTCATATTATGTCCTAGATTCTGTGTTGTGAAGCACAGTGAATTCACACATGTCCTAGATTCTGTTGTGTATTACCAATGAATTCACCCTTGTCCTAGTTCCTGCACAGTGTATTTGTAGAATAAGTGACTTCACCCTTGTCCTAGTTCCCGCATGGTGTATTTGTAGAATAAGCGAATTCACCATTTCCAAGCTATAGTCTCTCCCATGCCCTCATATCTATGCTGTGTAGTTCTAGTGAATTTACTTGTGTTCAAGTTTCTTGTGGGTCACCTGTGTTCCAGTTTCTTTATCACGTTTTAATATCAATTCACTAGAAAATTCACCAATAACCTAGATTTTGTGTCATTCCATAGAAAATTTAGAATCGCACATCTCATACATTTTTGTGTTCTTTTTTTCCCCAATATTCTCTTGACTTTCACATGTAAAGGATAAATCTTTGTTCTTTCCTGTAATGTAATAGATGAAACAGTAATTTTTGACTAATTCAAAAAGTGTTCAGTCTTAGATACATTACTTCATAAATAATGTGACAATTTTATTCAAAAATGATAATAATAAACCAAAGAATTCCTTATCCTGCAGACCTGATACTTAATATATTCACCTTCTGAAATGATATTTTTCCGTAAATGAAAAAAAAAACAGAACCAAAACTTTTTAAATACACACTGAAAATGTGCTGTGGACTCCCTTTAACCACTGGCTCTAATTTCAATTTTCTTTTTCACAAAGATGATGAGTAGGTTTATCTGGTGGTTGAATACAGAGAGTAATAACAACTTATATTGCATCAGGTTGGAGGCATAAGCCAGCTCATCAATAAATAGGTAACATTCAGTGAGAATAGGTGGCAATTTCTGCCTGCCATAATTGCTTAATT